TAACAGGAATATTCTAAATTATCTATAGCTACTCCCTTCCTTCCTGTGGTAGGATAATCCGGAAAGTGATGTCATTAGAGCACCACCGTGACCTGGTAGTGGAACTGATCTTGTCTTCTCTCCAAAAGGTATTAATAGTGTCTGGTAATAGGGTAGATGAATAATAAGAGATACACAATACTTCCACATTTATCTATTATAATAGTGCTGTCACTGACATCACAATTATCATGTGATACCTGTAAGTCCTGTGATGTGTGCACTATTTTTTTTCTTGTTAAATGTTAATTTTAGGTTTACAGGGTGGAAATTTTTGTATTAAACCTTCCTTCTTTTTAGCACCTACTACGGTTGATACCATATGCATACTTAAATGTCCTAATTTATATGTAATTTATCATTATTGCTGTACATTTTACCATCAAAACCTACACAAGCATTTACTATGGTTGAGTGGTTCCACAGTATCCATAACTTTTATCAACAATCTAAAAAACATAATTTTAAAAGATTGCATCATTTCAGTATTTGTGCCTTCTAAACTCAAATAAGTAAATACATTATCGGACAACCTATGTATTTATATATCTTGACTAATACAGTATAAAACAATTATGCAAAATTACAATACAATCCAAACTCCAGAATACAGTAGTAATGTATATTCATATGAATGAATTATAAATACTGGTATAGCCAGCACAGTCATCTATAATTGTTTATTTCCTTTTATTTGTTTTACTAGCTTTCAAAAACATAATCTTAGAGAGGTATAGGTTAACCAAAGGAATTATATCACTATTGCAATTTACAGTCTTGCTTTCCATGCCTAAAAACATATCACAAAAATTATAAGTAACAACAAATACAACAGAATTTGGGAAAAGGCAATTCCATTCACTAACAAAAAAGGAAAGCACTATTTAGCTTTGAAAAAATGGACTCAGTGTTTATAATAATTTCACCAACAAAAAGTCTTCATAAACTTTAATTGCATGATTTGTGAGTCAATTAAAAAGAACTAAAACAACAAAGAAATAAAGCTTGCACATAAGTACAAATAAACCCGATGGGGTTGGTTTAAGGCTGTGGTTTTAGCTAACACAATGCTTTACGAATCCACAGAGAATTAAAATGGATTTAACAAATATAACGATAAGTTACGTTTGTATCCGGTGAATGAATAGGGTAACAAGGATTTACAGATTGGAATCAATTTTTTGGCTATGATGATTGGTAGATTGCATTCGACTTTTAAGTCGGAATAAAGCCTTGTTGAGGCAGTGACTGTATGGTAATGGTATTGGAGGTGGACTTGTAGCCATAATACTAGGTCTCTACAGTATGCACTTTTAACAAATGTACAAAAGAAGATGAATAAAAGAAGCAAATAAGATAGACAATGGCCGTATTTGACAGGTCGTTCTTCGTTAAACCACGCCCACCTGCGCAGTGGTAAAAACCTACTAACGAAGACGACAAGTTGAATAGAATACTGGTAAATATTCAACAAAACAAAATGGCTGCATAGTTACCGCACTACACACTACGTAATCAAGGTTGATTCAGCTTGTGGCAGTATGGGTTTTTCATAAAAATATGTTTTCATCCAAGTTATTTAATTCTGTTAGCCTACAATTATTTTTTGAATTCATGACGGTAAACATTATAATTTTCATTTTCTGAAATTTAATATAAATTATATGAACGCAAATTCTGTAGCTAAACTGAGGAATCAGCCACGTTTGTTTTGGTCATGTGGATAACTTAACGCTAATTAAAGCACTCTGGTTACGTTAATTTTCGTTGTCAACAAAGTCTATTTTACGAACCAGTCGAATGAAAATATATACTCAACGAAAAATCGTAGTCGAACGAAATGAACCAGTTGAATAAGCCCTTGAAAAACAAACAACAAAAATCATCAACAAAAAAGAAAAACAATGAGAAAAAATTTTATTTGACAAAAAAAAAAACTGTTGTATGCCCATATATAGTCATGATGTGGCTATATATGGTCATGATGTGATGTCATCATGACCATATTTAGGCATGTCACATGTTTATGTCAAATGAAATTTGATAGTCTGGACTGGCCTTTACATAATGTGGAATGAAGAGTACCATTATTTTCAGACATTATCATAAATAGATCGGGAAGGGTTAGACATAAACAAAACAAAATATCCACAAACCGTTTTAAAAATTCAGCATTGTACATCGCTTGTAATCTAGTTAATCAAAATTTCAGAAGATAACTGCACAGGACTCAAATTTTTATTTTCTAAGAAATCTTTATTTAACACTCTATATGTTTATGAACGATTCTATGTCATGTACAACAAATATCTCAGAATGTATTATTTTGACAATAAAGTTGACTTGTATCTTGTATCTTTTATCTTGTAAAATCAATATTTTCTGACCACACCCAAGCATCCATATAAAAAGGTTGGCCTGTAACTCTCTATGTGGATAAATATATTTAACAAATTGCAGTCCCACAAACTGACTGACCCACTGTATCAAACCTTAAGGTCAAGCGAGATCAACAGCATACTGTATTCTGTCTGTACTCAAGGACAGAAACATATCACACCTGTTTCATTTAATAACTTATTAAAAAAAAAAAATGAAATATGTTGCATTTATACAGTAGTATGATTAATAATATTCAACATAATAAACTTGATTATGATTATATGCTAATATACTTTTCTGTCAGACTTTATTTATGATTTATTCATAAAAACAAATGCATCGCAACATATTGTTGAGTTCAAAGGACAATAAAGCTTTTGTTAATTCAAGGTCACGTAAACTCCCACTAAATAATCAACCAGATTGAGTTTAGGAACTAATGCATATATGCAAGCAAAAAGGATGGTTTACTGTAGGTCTACTATTCTAATGAGGCGAATTGAATCTGTAATTTGACAGCAAAAGCAAGATACTGATAGCTCTCAAGATCACTTGTAAACAAATGTTATTTATACTGTACACTAATAACCAATAAAATGTACCCAAATGGCTGACAATAACAAACCAGTGTTCAGACTCAGACTGACACTAGGCCCTACAGTATGCCATACTCTAGCTTCTATTAATCTTGGTGTTGTTATGAATATAGAGTACTTGATGTATTTGTCGGATTTGCAGGAGTCTCCCAAACGTTTGTATCATCTCCTAGACTACGGCGAGAAAGCCAAACTCCCCCGGAAATTAACTTATCTCCCAAAAATTCAAAATATGAACTTTTTTTTATTATGTATCTGTAGGACTATTATCTATTGACTACTGACATTAGTATCATCATAGAATGAATGTTACCTTTAATAATGACAGGGAGGTCATGGTTCAACGTTTCAACCTTTATTGGGTCATCTTCAGGAATGCAAATGATAAAGGAATATAAGGCAATATAAGGTGCAGCAAAATTATGTGTTAAGGGAAGCTAGAGCTAGCCCACGGCTTGGTGCCTAGAATCATAAGTATACTGTAGGCCTAGGCCGTGAAGTAAAAAGTTTGCGGAACACAGTTCTGGGACATATAGTATAAACTACTGGATTGTTATTTATTAATTGTTTATTCTACGAAAATTAAGGCCTCATGTCAAATTAACAATGTCGTTGAAAACCCCTTTTGCGTAGGACGCGTCCATTCAATGGACGCAAATTGGATGTTTTCAGGATGCGTCTGGCACATCCAAAAGGGGCAGTTGTTGTGAGCGGTAGTGTAAATCAGAGCTTGTGGGCTTGGCTTATCCCAACTTGAGACACAGGGTTTCAAACAATAATCAATAATTTCATGCAAGTATGTTACATATGTGTCACTTATTACAAATTGCCAAAAATGATGATTAATGATGACACCATAGTATACTCAGCAGAAAAATTCATTTCCTGTTCGAATATTCAGTAATAATAATATTGCCTTTATGGTATTGTGATGGTAACTAACAAGTCTACCAACACAGCAGGAATCAATCTAGTGACGTGATTGGTATCCTCATATTCAACATGCCATATGTTACACAGCATTTGTAGTGTATCGTTACAACATAATGCACAAAATCAAACATAATATAACACTAGTACAATACTATTTATGTCATCACTATATTATTTATGTCAGAAATATTAGATTGTATATTACATAAGAAACTACCTACCAGCATGTCAACACACTGGTATTTATTGATGGTTTATAGCTTCAGTTGTTTTGAATAGAAATAATTTTGAAATACTGTTATTGTTCCCTGCTACCGTACCTATTGTACTCTTGCCTTTTATGTTTTTATTTTATTTCTTCTAGCAGTAAATAAAACAAGTGAACAAAGACAAATAGACAAGATAAACAAAGAGGGAGGCGGAGGGGGGGGCAAAGTTGTACAAAAACTACTATCACCGGAAAGGGTGTGCCCCTTCAATTCCAACTTCCTAAACATATTTTCAGGCCCGTAGCCAGGGGTTCCCGGGGGTTCATCCGAACCTCCCCTTTTCAGCGAACTCCCCTTTGACAAGCGAATCCCTAGTGACTTAAGCAATTACTTTACTATTACTGCGGCTTCTAGGGTTTCGTCCCCTCAACACCACCGTTGCCCTGGACCCTATGCCCTGAACCCCCTCCCTTAGCTGATGCTGGCTACTGGGCTGAATTTCCCCATGCATGCGGAATTAGTGGCCGTCCTGACTGGTTAATCCCAGCCCCAAAAAGCAGGAGTGGTTCTGGCCTTATTCAACAGTTAATCTACTGTACAGTAAAGTAGGCCTCTTTAATAATACAAAGGACCAGTCTACTGTACGCCAATTTAGAGAACCCGTCCTTATCTCTACAGAGTTGGGTAAGTAATTGCCTCCCTAGTGAAGGGAGAAAGGGATAAGTTGTGATTAGTACTGGTATCCTCAATAGAGTATCTGTCCTGGTCTATGAAATTACACTATCAATAACTAAACAATGAATCTGTACAAAACTGTCAAAACAGATGTTAAACTACATACCAACATTCGGTCAAAAGCAGCACTAACTTCCTGGTCTGTGAGGTTTTGGTACGTGAAGGTGTCCGGGTCCTCCTGCCCCTGGGGTACGCCCTCTCCATTTGCTTCATGTGTCACCAATGACATCGGCCTAGCAATTTTATCAGTGCTGAGCCTTACAATATCTTTCGGTACTTTGCCCTTTGACTTCCTATCTTTTCCGGAAGAAAACTGAAAATAAAAAAATGCAATGTAAAAAAAGATGAAAGTAAAAACACATATCTTACAATACATGAATATAACAGTATTGTAAATTTTAGGTTTATAAGCCACAAGTGACAGGGGTGGATCCAAATCATCAGGAGAGATAAGTAGGGCAGGGGTTACTGGATCCGAGCCTGTAGGGAGGGCTAGCACCATGGCATAATGAAGGGGCCAGAGGCCTAATGAAATATTTTGTGCCCTACCATTCCCCCATTTGATCCACACCTGAATAATGATACTGTACAATGATATAAAATACAAGTTACAAAGATCAGTTGATAAAGGTATACTGTGGATTAGTTGAAGGCACTTAACCATATCAACTGCTTGAATAGCAACGCTCAGTAGCAAAAGTATGTCGCATGGTGTTGTGAAACTTGGAACAATACTGTACATTATAAAGCAATGTACTGCAGATACTGAGCATGACATAAAGCAAAATATTATAATTAAAATTCTATCTAAATACACCGATAAACTACTCTACTTTATAATTATAATACTACTGTAAAGTACGGTAGCATTGGTTTCCTACCACCTTGAGTGACATTGTTATCCCCAATTTTAAGAATAATATGGATCAACATACAGTACAGCTCTGCTGATACAAATGTGTTTGCATTACTATTCAAAGCTCCTTATAAAAATAACTGGTTTCCTGAATACTATCAGTAAGTATATCAAATTAATAAGCACTCTGATCTTCATGAAATAGCGCATGGAAATGATGTAATAATGTATAAGGAAATTATAATTTAATTGTATTAACAAATCATGAACAAAGATCAAATTACATGTCATTTAATAAATAAAATACTAAAATTGTCAAAAAGCCCCCGTTAAATAAACAAAAAAAAAATGTGAAAACATTTTAAAAAGCGAAAAAAAGCATCAACTTCGTAGTAAACAGTTTTGAGTTTATAAAGAATTTTCAAGGAAGGGGAATAAAAATATCCATTCTAACAGATAGGACTTAAAAATTAAACAAGTTCTCGTATACTCAAAGCTCCGATGAGGGCAGTTTAATAGAGGAAGTACAGTACATTGGCCCTAACGGTCACCCATAAAAAGAAGATCAATCAGCCAAGTGTTTCTAGAGCTCCTCATCGGAGCAAAAAAAAAAGTAGTTAATTCTAAAACCATGCATACACTGTGTCAATCGACTGGAGGCCCACCAGGAACGAATTCATCTGTAATATATGCGAGAACTTGATTACACAGCGTTCTCTAGCGATTGCCAGTGGCAGTTCAGTGTATTGGCAGGAAAGCTGCGTTACAATTTCAATGAAATTGCATCGACCACCAACCGCCGACATAGAGGCCCCAGCTTATTAAAGAAAAAGTTGAGAAGGACAGCCACCATACAAACTGCATGCTTATGTATGCAGGTTATGGTATTCTAAAGATTGTGTTCAGGTGACAGCTAATGTTAATGCATGATTGAAAGCTGGTTCAATTAAAGTTTGTTTAGTCTGACAAAGCAAATGTCCACTTACAGTAAGCTGAACATTTAGCACACACTTACTAACAACAGTAAAACCACTTTTAAATTCCAATCAAAAAGGAACACTAACAATTTGATAAAAACTGTAAAAAATAATAATAGAAGGTACAGGTACTGGTTGTGAGCAAAAAAAAAAAAAACGAAAATGAAACAATTTTCAGTTCTTCTTGACATTTAGTTTACAAACACACTGCCATTTCAGGTGTAAACTGTTGAATTAAGGCCTGGAAACAATTGGAAAATGTCCATACAGTACTGCTCCAAAGCTTTGAAACAACTACCTGAGACTGTGCGTGACTCTCCATCTTTGACTGTCTTCAAATCTCGGCTCAAATCCTATCTTTTCTCTTTATTTTAATTCTGAACTCGATTCCTTTTCTTTTGGTTTTTGATTCTTCGTTCGTTTTTTTTTTTTTGTGCACTTGGGCTGTTCATCTTAGTGCACACATGATTTTATCATAGTATGCACTATAAAAGTACAGTATTACCATTTACAGTAATGTACTGTATTCACACTGTTCTTTCAATAAGTTCATACTTAATATTTTACATAATATGTAAGTTTATTTTTAATTTACTTGTACTGTAATGTTTATATCATATACCAATATCAGTGTTTTGTATGTTCTATTTTTAAAATTGATATCCTTATTAGCACCTGAACACAAATTTTGACTGTACAGGTCTCACTGTATTGTCAACAATAAATTTTCCTTAATTCCTTGAACTTTTGTTTATAGGCGATTAAATACAAAACCATCCCTCTACATTGATTATCAGAATTGATTATTGGATTCACAATCTTCTAAGCCTAAATTAACTATTGATTATGTAAGTATTACAGTTCATGCTGACTGCAGGTGAGTCTCACTTTAAGACAGACTTAGATTATGGTTCATTTTGTTACTATAATCAATAACAAAGCAATGCATATTCCTTCCGTCTGCATTGTTATCACTTTATTGCTACAAGGATGGATTCATCACAATTACGTATAAACTATACTAAGATGCCATACAGTGCATTTTGAGTTTGAATCATTCTCTTTCAGGTCAAATTAATCGGGAATGCCATGGTTAAGCGAGATGAATTGAACAGAACAGAAATACAATCAAAGAATTAACAGAATGTATTTCTGTAGCTCCTGAACATTGAGTGACTGTAACACAAGAGTCAGGGACAATTGTCAATCCCTTATCAGAGAATATAGAATAGCAAGAGTTGCCCTGATTTTACATGCAAGCAACGAAACGAAAAAGGGGGACATCCCATTAGAAATATTGTTTGAAGGATTTGAACCTAAGACAGAGTGGTACAGTATTAAAAGATGAACACTTTAACTACCAAGTTAAAAGCGAATCCTAGTCTGTATGATATACATCAAAACACTTACCGCAAGTCTTACTGAAGAAAACATCTTATAAAATTTCCAATGTACAAATGTTTTTCAAAAGATTTCAAAGCAATTACTGTAGTCCAAATTAAGGAAGATATGGGTCAATTCACATTTAAATCGATAATTAAATTGTGAACTTAAAACTGTCAATCATCCCTCTCCTTATTCATCCTCTCATGTGAGTCAAGTGTTTTCAGAAACATGGCTTTGTTGAATAACCACAATTAAGACACTGGACACTTCACTGTTGGTGATGTCATCATGTTGATGTCATTGGGAGGAAGTGGGAGGGATTTTCTAAGTGTGGGTGTTAACTGCTGAAAGGTTTATCATTATTAACAATCACAATCAATTATGCCTAATCACACTATCAACATATTTTTGGATACTGGCATCAGAGATTTCTTTTACTACATGATTGGTATACAATTTCATAAACACCCTCAAATCATTAAACTTTCGGTACATCTTGTGTGGTACATCTTGTGTAAAAATACGGTGTTTGAGGTAAAACCACTTGTCAGAAGAATGATAAAAGATGACTTCGGTTGGTCTCAAATAGAGATGGTGATTAAAGAAATTAATTTCTGCTACAGGTCTCTCTCCAATTTAAGACCACTTTTTAGACTGGGCAGTCTGGGACCGGGGTTTCCATGGTCAGCATTGATCCCTAATTAGAACAATAAAGATAAAAGACGTTTGTTTATTTGGGACCACAGGAAAGCGGTCTTTAATTGGAGGTGGTCTTTAATTGGAGGGAGACCTGTTACATAATACAACATACACAGATCAGTAGTGGTAACTCCAGGAAGCCTGAAGATTGGAGGCCTACGTAAACAAAAAATGTTTGAAAGCTAATTAAATATTCATACTACAGTAATTATTATCAATGCCGAACATTAAATGAAGTACCAGACATACAGACTTACTGACAAGCCATTTAAATACTTAATTATTTTGAAGTGTTGATGTTTCAGAAGGTCTACTGTACAGTATTTTTTTAAACAATGGGAAAGCAGGAAAATAGCTCCCTCTTGTAGTTGTAACTCTATTGAGTACAGAATGCATCATCAACCATTCTGTCATCAACTTCTAAATTTACCATAATGAGGGAAACACATTCAGTGATTCCTCTATACTACATTATTATTATTACAGCTGCACTTATTGTACCACATCAGTAGTAATTGTTTTACATTGGAAGTGATTATAATCTACACTAATTATTGATGTGGAAATTGTAAGACAGGAAATGACAGCCAGTGCATTGAGGAAGTTTTTTTATTGAGTATGAAATTACAAAGATTATGTCGTGCTGTAATCATGGGTACCATTGTGGTCTCCATGACAACACAAACAATGATTTGTTGAAGGAATTTGCACTTGGCAGAGCTCATAACTTAATTTAATTATGTTTACCAGTTTTCCTGAATAAAAAGAGAAAAACAAAAAAAGTACTATACCATACCATTACAATGATAATTAATAATACTGTACACAGAACTGGTATAATACCGTATTTCTATATAATAAAATTATTTTTATCAATCGTGATGATCACCAATTTATTGAAATGCCTTAAAAACATACAGTTAAACAACTGTACTGTATAAATTTGTCCCTATTCCCCTCCCCCTCTATGACTTGTAGAGAAAATCGTTGATTGGGTAACCAGGGTGGGAAAAAATTGCACTACCGGTGCTACGGTCAGAGAAAACATGGTACCTCTGAGGCTTTAAAAATATATCGTTTTTTTCTGCTGGCAACCACCGTTGTGAGATTGGTGCATGATTTTATAAAAAAAAAGTTGTTATGGTCAGTGGGACAAATTGTTTTTTTTTTCATACAGTATTACAGTTATATTGAAAATAATTATGAAGATTGTACTGTATCTACATGCAGTGATGCTTGCCAACAACCAACCTATGTAGCCACAATCCTGATTGTTTACAAGTGTGCTTTGTTCTAAAGTGCTCCATCTTGTTAAGTGAATTTATGATGCAATTAGCCTAGCTACACTGTACACATACAGTATGTACAATATATTATTGTACCTGTACTCTGATAATCATCAAGGGCACATTTGTTGCTGAATGTTGGACTAAAGATTAATGATGTAGATATCCACTTTGGATTAATAGGGTTAGTGGAGGATTAAGCGATAGAATGTTACAGTTGGTGAAGTGTAGGATTTAAAGCTTACTGAGTAGAAATTTTAATATGAAAACAAACTTAATATTGTTTATGAAACTTCATTAATATGTCAAACAATAGGTCTTCAATACAGTATATCATGCCATTGTCAGTAAATTTATTATTTTCCACCTGATGTTTTAGGGGTGAGCAAATCAAGGCCAAATAAAATAAATTAGTAGTTTCACATCCCCACCCTAATCAAATTTTAGAGCCTAATGAAAATTACTTTTTGCTATTTAAAAAAGAAACAATTATTTTTTCCATCGAAAATATAAATGATCTCAAATATTGATGTCAAAGCCTACATATACATTAGGGGTGGAAATGTACAATGTACGGTAGTCGGTAGATGGCAAAAATACATAACAAAGATTCATTTTACTTCTTTTATTAAAAAAAAAGTATTATTATGTAGACTGTTTACCACTAGTAAATAGCACTAGGATAGTAAATAGCAAATAAATTTAAATCCTGGAAGTGAAAGTAACAATTAATTTTGTTTGGCCTTAACAAGGTTTCCATTCATTTGTATGAAGACTGGCGTTAGGTAATCTCAAAGGAACATTTCTAGGAGTCTTTGCAACATTCAACCTGTGTCCTGTGTGGAAAATTTTGTCTACTTTTCACTCCACTCACGTCATGACCATAACGTACGGTACGAGCGTGGGTGTTCATTCCACGCTTGTTCTGCATCTATTCGTAGACACGTCATTCATAGCATAGTATTTCTATCAAATTAACTGCCCTGATGTTATTTTTATTTAATAGTGATGACAGGACTTGGGACAATTCGTTTAAATAACACATTAAAATATTTGTTTTGTCTTGTAATGGTTAAATATCTTACAGAAAATACACCATAATTGTTGTTTACTCTGTTTCATAGCATAATTTGTAAATTGTGGATTACATGCTCTCTAACCTTAGTCTTTCTTGATGTTCTTCGCGCTCGATCGAAGCTCAATGCTCGACCAGACTACAAACTGTAACAATGTTGTTGTTTTTGTTAGTGAAAACGTCATTTATATGTTTGAATGAAAACATTAAAATTAACATTTTAATGTTTTCATTACTTACTTTGTAATGATTGACTATCGTACAACAATACAGGCTTAGGCCTTTGAAGAATATCATTTATATTCTGGTAATTAAGTCCTAGCTTTAGTTTGGTGTAGGCCTGCAGTACTGTAGTAGTATTGTTCCTTGTCAACAATGGCCTTGGTAAATTCAACAAATGACGTGAGAAATTGAAAAGAACACAAACATTTCCAGCTCATAATATCACTTTTATTTGAAAAGTTAACGGTGATTTAATAATATATTTAATTATTAAACTACATACTATTGTAGGAAATTAAATTACGTTTAATAAAAACAAAATTGATAATTAAATCAGTGCCGTGGTGAGCTTGGGCACCGCAGCTTGAGTCAATGCTAATTTCGAGTGCTGAAAATTGAACTGACATTAACGTACATTTAACCAGACTTGATAAATCTACTTGACCTATAATGCACGTTTAAATAAAGTATGATTGCGCATGCGTTATTTATTTCACGTAAATATATCATTTGTTTATGGTCATGTAAATATATTCACTTCAGTTTTTTTTTTAAAGAACCAGTAAAATTTTGCCCAGGCTCAGTGTTCTTATATTTTTGCCGATGTCAGGCTCAAAATGATGAATTTGGATTTTCGGTGTAAACACCAAGGATAGGCCACAAAAGTCTAGAAGAAAACTTATTTCCAGTGGGGTCCTTCTGGTGGTGATTGGGCAGTACACCAGGAGACAATCCTCTACTCTTTTCCGAAGAGTGTATTGCGTTCTTTAACATGCACATGGGCCATCAATGCATAAACGGGACCAACGGCCTAAACGTCCCATCCGAAAGACAGTGCGCTATTATAACTTGTATTTCAGCCCTCCAGCTGCTCTCTGAGAGCAGCTTCTGCTCCTCTCAGAGCTGTTCTTATTTGTTCTTATTTTTACACCCTTTTCAAACATAGAAAATGATTATTGCACAGAGTACTGTTGTTACACTACCAGAACCTAGGCTAGGTTATTACATAGGCACACTAACTGCAAATATGGTACTGATAACATTTGTTGGTTTTTATATATATATATTTTTGTTTTCATAAAACCTCATTTGACATTTTACCCCAGCCTCAATTTGTTCTTATTTTTAAGTACTGTAATTTCAGCCTCAGTGTTCTTTTAAAATGTGTTCTTAATCTTATTTTTTTAAAAGTGTATTTTATAAGGTAGGCCTACGTCTGAAACCTGTGACAATCAGTTCTATCATAAATAAAACTGTACAGTATACGCTAGGCTGGAACACTCAACAATATCAAATACTGTAATAATCCACTCCTACATACAACTCTGGCGACCTTGGTAAGTTATCATTTTATCACTCTACGCTCCACAGGTAACTACCCGCCTAAAAATATGCCTAGGCCTAGCGTAGCCTAGATGTTTGAGAATGTACTTACAAAACTGTGTCTTTTTGTAGGATCCTTTTTGTCCATCTTCGTATATTGTCACAAATATGAATGTATAAATCCAACATAAGTATTCCTATTTATATTCCACGATTTATGCCAACAGCTTACTCATCAAATCCATTTTTAGATTATGAAGGAAACATCGCAGCGGGAAAAGAGCACCTCTAGCCGCGAGTCGGTTTGATCAAAATACACCAATGAAAATCGTACCAACTTTTCCGAAGGGGCCAAGGATCTCCGAACATTGACCTGAAAGCGACCAATCGCGGATCATTTTACATTTTATTTCCGATAGATGGTGTATTCTGGGCTACGTGTGTGAGGATGGAGAACACGCTAGCAAAGAAAGGATGGTAAAACACATTTTTACTTTAGTAGTAGTCGAATTTACATAGAATATAGAATAATAATAAATGTAGCATGATATAAATGGTGTGTAACAATGATTTGCGTTTTTAAGTTCGTGCTGTATATTGTTGTAATTTTCCCTCGAGTTAGGCCTAGCCTAGGCTAAACCTCGATTGCCTAGTCGATGGACAGCGGCATTTTTTGATTTTGAGCCCAGTACGAAGTTCATAGTAATTTAATTTGTAGATCTTGGGCGTTATGGATCGTTCAAAATATATCGATTAAGATCGTCGGGAGTTAATACATAGTGCATCGATTACTGGCGTAGATGCATTTACAGATCAAGTGACTATCTGAGGCTGTTGATTTTGTTACAAATGCGAATTTTGGCCCTAGGCCTAAAACTAAGGCCTACTAGATTAATTTATGAATGGAAATTTATTCATCAACACATTCTAAATTTCGTCTTTGGAGATTGTGTTGCCAAATATCCAGATGGGGCTAAATGTAGGCCTAAGTATAAAGTATGTCTGTCTACGTAACAGTCATCAAAATTATAATGTCTACTACAACCTGGTTGATAAAATATCACATATGATTATGAATCGTTTAAAAGAATTCTGTGCAAACAACATGTGTGTTGGTTGGTACACGAACATTAAATATAACCTAGTCCTACAACTTAATAACATCATCCAAGTCTGTTCAAGAAAGCTAAGGCAGTTTCTTTGCCCAGAAATCCCCCAATATTACACAAAAAAAACCCAAAAAAACAAAAAAACAAAAAAAAAACTTGACAGAAGATACTACAGAATGTACAGTACCTTTTAAATCAGAAGTTTTTTTGTCTGCATTTAAATCTTCCCTGAAAACTCATTTGTTTAACAGCTAGCTCTAGCGTTCACTGCGCATTTGATCATTGTTCTTTGGAATTTTCGCATTACTAAATTTTTATATTATTTTATTATTATTATTATTATTATTGGTATTATTATTATTATTATTGAATGAAAACAATTTAGTAACTACTTTTTTTTTTTTGTTTACCTTGTTTGTTTCTTCTAAAGGCACCTCACTTCTAATGGATTACAAAGATGTAAAGACGGCCTTCCTATTGGCAATGCAGACGCAGTCATCAAAAATGCTCTTAACGTAAGTCCCTAGTTCTATCTCATCTAACTGCTGTTCTTATGAAATAGAGATTATAGCACAAATTAGACATTAAGCTGTTGGTCCCATGTATAGTTATCATATCATATCATTTGTTTCATCGCAAAACACATAAAATACAAAGGCAAACAAGATAGAAATACAACATTTGAAAAATAAAAGCTTAAAAAATCATAAAAAAAACTCAACTGGATTGCTCAAAAGTAAAAACAAGTTCACTGTCAGGGAGCTCTCCCTGTTAAATTTGACTTATAAAATAAAATTAATACAAAAATGAAAAATATAATTTTTTTTTTGTAAATAGTCTAAAAGTACATCATAAAATTAATCAGAAAAGTGAGGTTAAAATATATAAAAGTACAATAAAAAAAAATTTTTTATAATAAATTAAAAATGAACAGACGGCACAATATACAAAAATGCAGAAGGGTAAAAAATGCCTAAAGTTAAGATTTAAGAAAAATGAAAGTGTTGAAATATACATAAAATTATTAAAAAGCAGCAATATGAAAATTAAAAACAAAGTAAAGCACCCTCTTCATTGATTTAAGAGCCATAGCATGGCTCATATGCATGTTAAAAACACATCCCTACATTCTTTGGAAAGTTCACTGCTAAAGGACTCTACATCTGCCTTGGTCCTAAGGGTCCCAACACAAATTTTCTCTGTATTCAACTACCATTAACTAACTTTATTTTTACTTTCTCTATAGATTGACTTGCGTCACATTGGTGACAAGTTCCTGCCAGCTGATATCAACAAGGGCAAGATGGATGCTGTGAGTATACCAAACTCTGTGATTTGCTCATATGTGCATGATGATGTCATATCACACCCATATATGGGCATGATGTTGTCATATCACTTCATGACACAGGTTTAGCAAGTCAAATAGCCGAGCGGTTAGCAGGGCGCTGCAAGCTGCAGCCATAATATCAACGCTTGTTCAAACGGCTCGCTCGCCTATAGTTGTGGTGGTTGAATAAGTCTTCTCGGACAAAGACTATAAACTGTAGGCCCAGTGTATACAATGGCTTGTGCGCACTAAAAAGAACCCAGTACATCCTTCGAGACGAGTAGGGGGATACCCCTGTGTACTGGAACGAGTGTGTACTGTGGTACGACAAGAGATGCTGGTACCAGCTTACCGGGTAGCACAGACACAAAGGGACCCTTAGTGGTGAAGAAAGTCATTGATCGAGTTCATAGTCCACATATCAAGCGCCCTGAGCATCTTATGTTAGATGGATATGGTGCTATATAAAACTACACTATTATTATATTATTATTATTATTATCATTATTATTAGGTATTTGTCACATAGAAGTTTATGGTGTGACCAGAGTTTTAAACAACATAATCAATTTTTATAAAATTAATAATATAAAAACTTCTTTCATCTTTCCGTACTACTACCAAATATTACTAATCTTAAATTTCAAAACATTTTTTTTTCATCGGATGATAGTTACAAGGACCATGTGTGCTACAAGTGTTAAAAGTTCGGAACATCGCCGCACCGAAGATCAATGAAGGGTCAACATTTGCTCCGCGGATGATAAAGGTCTCATTAACAGATGGCCATACAACTTGCACCGCTTTAGAAGTTGAACCAATACCAAAAATTAGGTAAGATTTACTATGTGAATAATTAATAATTCAATTGGGATCCAAGAAGACTGATTGGTGATTGATCAGGTTGTTCAAAGTTCAAAGTTCAAAAGAAACATTTTTCTTTTGATTGATAGCATTATTGGCTGACAGACAAACCATTTTATAGGACTATTAATTATAGAGACAATACATATACATTATAAAGACAATATGTGGTGAAGATAAGACAAAAGTCACTCTTCGCAAATCATGTTTCAGAGATAATGGCCAGAGCATGTTGGAATGTCAACATCTTCTAAACCTATTTTATTGCACTAAACTAAACTTTATACATACATCAATATGTTGTTATTTTCTCCATTTTCAATGTTAAAACAACATTTTATTGCAATTTGGTGGTGGTCCCTGCCTGAGAAAAATCTGAAATCATAAACTTTGAAGACAGATTTCTCAAATACTGTTCTTTAAACAGCTTTATTAATTAATGTAAAAATGTAATAGAAATATATTTGCAACTTTAAAAAGTGTGTCTTTGTGTCAATTGTGTGTGTTTCTTGATCTAAATTTGGTTAAATTTAGATCAAGAAAAATAGAGTTATTATTGCTCAAAAACCATTTTCATGTGGACTTAGTCAATTTTTTCAAGGTTATGAATGGCTGTTTTTTGCTACAAATTACCATTTTTGGTATTAGTTAGAAATATTTTATGGTATAGGTCTCAAAATTGTATTTTAGTTACAAATAAGGTAGAATATAGTATTAAGAAGTGAATTTGGGCTTCATTACTCACTTCTATTATTTTTTATTTTAACTTAAATATGCATTTTTAGTGGATACAGCAATAATTTAGCCTTTTCAGTACCAATTTTGTATACGAAATCTTTTTATTTAGGTCGTCTTTAATTAATCATAACGCTGCAACGAATTGACCAATTTTGGCCAATTAACCACCAAAATGTTTCTTTTGTCATGTTAAATAATATAAAACTTTTTGGAAAACGTGCACTAGCCCTCCTTTATGTTTAAATGCCTATAACTTTTATAACAAAATGTTGGATTTAGATTCTTTTACCATTTTCTGACTTTCATTTTAAGGTTTAATCCTGTATTAATAACTAAAAATAATTTTTTTTTTTGCGATGAGTGACTAGTATGGCTTGTCTTTGCCACATGTAATATTACTGATAGAAATTATTGATGATATTGAATAATAATAAGGATGATTGATATATAGGTTAATATGATGATTGATTTATTATTGATTGAGTAATGGGAAACAACATTGACTGATTGATTTAAAATAGAAATATATGTTTTCACTGTTAGTGTGGAAACGGCTCCCGGAACCAAGCTTCATCTTTCTGGGTCAATTCCAATGCACCGAGGGTTTCTTTTGCTTAATGGGGGCAACACTAAATGCCTTGGAGGCAAAGTCGAAGAACTGTATTCAAAATGGCAGGTTGCGAAGGTATGTATGACTACTAAAATTGTATGATTGAAATTAAACAAAATATTTATGATGTAATATGATAGCTGTTGAATTTGTAAATAGGGTATCTGTAGATTGCCTTCCAATTCAAGGGTCCTGGGTTCAAATCATATCCAAGATAATTCCTTACAACCAAACACAAGGAAATATTTCTCAAAATTAAAAAAAATACTTCGCTCCTTAAACTCCTCATTGATATAGAGCATCACATTATAGAGCATCAGAGAATATTTTTCACCCAAGATAAACCGACTTTTCTTTTTCTTATAAGAATACCTCTCAAAATTTATGGAACAATCTGTCCTGGTATGGTTGCTGAGATGCTTATGCATTATGCCTGACTGTTCCATTTATTTTTTAAGGGTGTTCTCACTTTATTAAAAATAAAGACAGTCCCAATCCTTAAGCCTCACATTCATATTTGTATTATAGAATACAGAATATAGTCCACCCTGGATAAACCAACTATTTTAAATACTTTTTCTTATAAATATACCTCTCAAAAATATATGTAACAGTCTGCCCTGGTTATGGTTGCTGAGAAGCCCATGCATTATACCAGTGTCTGACTGTTCCATTTATTTTTGGAGGGTTTCTTACTTATGGGAGAATCGGCAAATGGTGTGTTTATGCACATAAGAATCTCTTATAGACTACCAATATCATTAATGATTTGTGTAATTCGATTATTTTCAATGTTTTTTTAAAAGAGCTTAGCGACTCATAGTCGGTCAACACGCCAAGATGGTGGCCCGCCCCCATGGGTTGAATTTGGGCAAGGTGTGCAAATGGGTGTTCAGAGAATGGGTGGCAGAAGGGGAGGTAAGTAAAAATGGTATCAGTGCTAAGCATTCGTGATTAGACATGTTGCCAGAAAACATTGTACTATTATCTTGAATATAAATGCAATATTAGTTAAAGGTAGGGAAATAACCCATAACTTGCAGCGTCATTGTACTGAATTGTGTATGGACGTGGTCTGTTACTACCTAGCCGCCGTAAAGGGGCGCTTATAGTAGCTACATTTTCACATCGTTCCAAAATGACAGGGGCTGAAATGAACCATAGCATCAGGCTTAACCCATTCTTTTCTCGAAAGATGCAATGGGTTCTTTAAAGTGCACACAAGCCAGATGTGTACACATGACCTGCATTTTTAGTCCTTATCTGAGAAGACTTGGTTCTACCAACAATACCTGGACAAGTAGTGGCTCGAACCAGCGTCAATATTAAGAGTGTAGTTAGCGGTGTCCCTGCCTTTCCGCTTGGCCAATCGACTCGCCCAATGTTAAATTATTATGAATTATTCACAGACTTGAAGAAGTCACTGGAGTCTCAGAGGGAGCACACGGAACTTGATAAGGAGTTTGAGGAACAGAGGAAGGCCACCATTCAGGAACTGACCAAAAATAAACAAGACAAGTCTCTTGGTGTTGGCAAGGTGAACACAGCGGACAGGGGACGGCAAAAGGAAAACCGAAACAGCGGTCCAGTGGATCGAAATAATAGGGAAAGTGGAGGGAAATTCCAGAAACCAAAACATGAGGGGGTTTATAGGGAGCTAAACTACAAGCCAAATTTGGTAAATATACTAAAGATATTGCAGATCAAATCTGTTGATTGATTGATTGAATGGTTGGTTGATTGATTGATTGATTGATGGATTTATTGATTGATTGATTGCTTGAGTTTCTTGTAAGAGTTGTTTGAGTTATATTGATTGATTAAGAATTGATTAAGTAATTGACTTATTAATTGATTGATTTATTTATTGTTGACTGATTGATTGATTAATTTGAAGTCTCATGCAATACTGGCCAGGTCATAACTCAGAGCTTGCCAGCCATTTTAGGTTTGCAAAGCGGATAAAATATTAATAAAGAAAAAAACAGGATTAATTATACCATGCACTTCTCATTTTAATTAGGTTAATGACAAAGATGTGCGGAAATTAGTGGATATGGGCTTTACCAAAGATGTTTCCACCACAGCTTTGAAAGCCCATAACGGTAACTTTGATGAAGCGTTGGACTCTCTGATATTAGAGTCGAGCTTCGGAAGTAACGGACCGAGGCAGGGAAGACAATCCTGGTCTAGCAATGGTAAAACTGAATATAGGAGAGGAGGTAATAAGATGTACTTAATTATACATTATGTTTGTACTGGCTGCACTTTCTTTTAATATATTTAGGCGATACTTTTTTTATTCCTTGTTTCGCGTACTTAATTTTTTAAAGATCATCAGTTGAGGGCAAAATAAAAATAAAATTTTATTATCTTATTTAGCAAACAGTTTTGCCAAAGGAGAAAATAAAAATAAAAATTTTATTGGTGAATGTAAAATAGGATGGTGAAGTGCTTCAAATTTTTGGAGATTTCAAGGCAGCGGAGGGCGTAATAAAAATTAAGAAAAACTTGTTTTTCTGAAATTTCTACTATTCGTGGTGGCGGGTGCACCAATTGGCAAAACTGAAATTTTATTTTTATGCGATTTGAACCCAGGACCCTGGGATTGGAAGGCAAGCATCTTAACCAATACGCCACATCTCCACTTTTGCTTCTGTGCTAAGCATAAATAAAGTATTTAAATTGTTTGCATTCAATATTTAAACTATTTTTTTTTTAATATAATTAAAAATTGTTAAACTATTTTAAATAATTTTTTCAATAAGTTTTACAATTTTTATATATCGATTGTTAAGGAAAATATTGGTATTTTAATGTTATATATTTTACTTTAATTGTACATTTAATTATCTTAAGATTACCTACTAGATAGTGATTTGGTTCTCCTTTAGGAGTCCTGTCTCAGTCTGTTTCAGATATTTTATGCTTTTAGTATGTTGTATTGTAACTGGTTTTTGTGTATTTTTACCAAGATGAAGTAAATGAAATTAAATGAAGTAAGTTATTAATTAATTAAAATTTAGAACAAGAACATTTTTTGGCTACCAACTGACAGATATAGTTAATACCCTTAAATTTGGTAGAAATCACTTTTAAAGATTTTTGTGTGTAATTATAATCAAAATTATAAGTGAAAACTCATTTGATCTTTGGGCAAAGCCACACCCCTTTGATATTGTTGCCAAGGTTTCACAATATGAGAGCATTCTGATTGGTCAATTATTAGGTTGATTGACACTCTAAAAAGGCTTATTGTCTTGATCTATCTCTTTAGAAGTTGAAAAATAATTTTTAATTTATGCTTTGGGTATATGATTATTTTGCATCTCTCTCTGAGAATTCATTTATCAAACTGATTATTCTTAGGTCGAGATGAGGATCATAATCGGCGAGATGATTTTTCGAGGAGGGATAACGACAACAGGTGGAAGGACAACGACACCAGGAGAAAAGATAGCGATACTCGTAGAAATGGAGATGAATATAGAAGACGTGAAAGGGATGATGTTAAGAAAGGTATTTTACGATATTACAAGAACATAAGATGTATTATCTCATCAACCGTATACAGTAAATGCATAGTATTATTAATAACCACATAAAGAAGTTTGCTTTCGGTACATTTAAACATGTATGTTAAAACTTATTAAATAATTTTGTGGAAATGACCTTCATCAGAAAGTTATGATAACAAAAGTGATTTATTATGATTCCCAAAAAACAATGCTTCTAATATCAATGTATTGATGCTAATGATTGTGTTTTGTAAATTGTAGATTTTTTGTTGGTAATATTTGTGCTTGGTGAATTTCTATTTATTATGTACCCTTTCTTTTAAAAAAAAATTATTATGAATTATGTTTTTGAAATTAGTAAGATGGTTAAAAATAATTCTTGTATGATTCTTTGATATTCAAGGTGGAAGACGCAATAGGAATGAGGAGGAGGAAGAAGATGGTGGCAGCAGACCATCTGGTCCATCCACGTTGTTTGATTTTCTGGCAACCAAACTAGGTGGCGAGACAAATAGCACAGGTACATGGAGACATGTGAATCACAAAGAATTAAAATAGATTGATAATGAAATAGGTGATATGTTAATATAATTTGATTTGTTTTTACAGAAAAATCGAAGCCGACTAGAAAGATTAATTCAGATTATGAACAGCCGGCATCAGTGAAAGAGGCAGGAATAACCTTCCAACATCGAACATCAAGACGACAGACAGACGATGGAGGTAATGGCCGAGAAGATGACCATAAGGGCGGCCAAAGAACTGGAGCAAGAGATTCCCGAAACAAAAACTGGCAGGATAATCTACCACCTCGCTTCCGAAAGGATCAATCTAATTCCCTCCCTAGTAGCTCTCGTAGTTCACATCACGATTATGATCATGAAGATGACCGCCATTACGCTGATTATGACAGGACTTCATACAATAACGGCGGCCATAGGTCACATCGTCATGGAAACTATAATAAACAATCTGATCACGAGCATTCAAATAGTGACAGGCAGAGAAATTATGAAAAGCGATCTAAGTTCAAGGATCAGAGGTCATACGATTCCTCACGAAAACACGAAAGACCAGCGAGTTATAACGGAGACGATTATTATGACCGCTCATCAAATCATCCAAGGCAAAGACACTACAGAAACGAGGGGCAGGATGGTCAAAATAAGAACTGGAATACATACAATCAGGGGGGCGAGGGTGAACTTAATAGTCCGACTGCCCAAACAGCCTTAGTATATGAACAACCGTCGCAACCCATTACGATGGTTCAGCCACAAATGGTAGCAGTGTTCCAGTGGAAGCCTGGGGATTCATGTTTGGCAATGTGGAATGATGGTGTGGTAAGTTTATCGCATTTTGATTGGTTGTATTTCATTACATTTTTATTTGTGGTATTTTAACTTTATTGCATTTTGATTCGTTATATTTTAACTTTATCACGTTTTGATTGGTTGTATCTTAACTCTATTACTTTTTGATTAGTTGTATTTGAGTTTTATAACATTTTGATTGGTTGTATTTTAACTTTACCACATTTTGATTTGTTTTACTCGTCAGTTATTTATTATAGAAGGGTTCCCAAATCTCCAGTGTGACACAGGTGTCATTCAGAATTTGCACTCACACTAGCCAAGCAAACATCTCGTTTCTTGCTTTTCAGTTTTATCCGGCTATAATTCAAAACATAGATCCGACCGGACAGAATTTTGTTGTGTACTATGAAGATTACGGAGACTATGCCAATATACAAGTTGGCGACCTACGGCCATATCTTGGACAGTGGGTAAGCAGAGACCTTTCGATTTGATTTAATTAATTAAAGAATGCAAATAATATAGCTTGTTTCTAACACTCAAACACTTTGCTTAACATCATCATCATTACTATCAAATCATCATCATTTTCACCATTGTCATTATTGTCAACATTATCTATCAATCTCGTCCTTCTCATCATCATCATAATCGTTCACAGAAAAACTTCTGATTTTTCATGTTTGATAGAGAATTTTCTACTCCATATAGCCCATCTCTTAACTATATAAATAGCTGCCTATATTTCTTATTCATACTAACATGGAATAGACTTTTAAATAGATTTCAGATTACATTACACATTTTATCAGTATTTATTCTGTCCAAAATTAATAATTAATTCCGAATATTATTCCTAATAGATTATTGAAACATGATTAATAAATATGTTTTTTGCCATCCTAAATTTAGCAGACTACACAGTTGATGTATTCAAACTCCATGAGTCAGCCTGCACCGGCACAGGTCATGGATAGCTATCAGGGACCGCTCTCAGGTACGCTAGAAGTCCGGCGAGGGGGGCAAGGTTTGAAAAGGTTCAATGTACCTCCAAGGGAGAAAAGAGGAGCACGGCCATCCGCACAGGTTTACACCCCTCCTAGCGGTAGAAGTTGATGACAGTATAGACCGGTTAAGATTTTGGTGAGAGAAATTAACTCTGACCATGATTTCCATGAGGTCAAGGTTCAGAGTTCATAAGGATAGGCATTAAAGTATTCCAGAGAAACCAAACATATCTTGTTTTGTAATGATGCAAAATTGATATCTGATATTGCTACAGTATACACTGCCAGGGCAGAGCCAACTAGTATAGGGGAGTGCATGATTGATGAAATGGTTGATTGATGGATGGAATGATTGATTAACAAGATTAATATATTGAATGGTTAGTTGATTATGATGATTGGTTGATTAAATGTATAATTATCTAATTGACTGGTCAATTGAAAATGAATGATTGATCATAGAAATGAATGAATGATTAATGATTAAGTGATTGATTAATTATTCAATTCAATAAGTGCATGATTGACTAAATAAGCAAATGAATAAATAATTGATAACTGATCAATTGACTGGGAATGATTGATTGATTGAATGAATGACTGGTTGGTTGGTTGACATGTTGACTGATTGAATGATGGAAGATAAGGAATTGTGATTGTTCATGGTACATGTCATACATATGAATATAAGAAAATATATAAAGGTTGCCTATATAACTATTTACCCCTTCCCAATTTTCTTCACACCCTCTATCCCACCCTCAAATCCCCACCTCCTATTTTTCTTACCAACTCTTAGAGGTGATTGGTGTAATAAATCCATCCCGTAATATCATAACCTAAACTAAACATATCTTTTGAAATTTTTGTTATTTTATATACAGTAAAAATGTATTTAATGGTACAACATATAGCATATTTTTTAGTGAACAAAAGCTGAATTGTATGAAGAATTTAATTTTATGATTTATATTTTGTCATTCATAATGTTTTATTTGGTGTTTGTGATGTTTTATGATAATTGTCTCCACACCTTGAATAATAATTTTTAAAAACGATGAAAAATAAATAGAAAATTAATTGGTGACTTTAAATTTAATTACAATTTCAATCATATATCGCTTGCTTCGCTAAATTATATGCAACTTGCTGTAGATTTTTCAATAATTTTAGCTGATTGAATTTAATATCTATCGATTTCTTCATGATTTGATAATTCAGTGGCTTATAGTATTGATAAGATTATTATTGATGTACTTTTTCATATTTCTGCATCAGTGGTGATGCCAGCAGGGAAAGGAGGAATATTCCGCCATCGGACAGGCCTGGACCTACAGTCGCCCGATACCATAACGAGGTCGTCCGACCAAAAATATAATTTCCCTATCCAAAAAGTTATTTTTGATTGCCGATTCCTAATATTATGGTCTAAAAGCACAGTTTTGGGCCATACTAAGCCATAAAAACTCTCCCCCTAAACCCTACTAAGAATTTTTATTCCGGGACCTGATCAAGGTTCTAGTCGGCCCCTTGGTTAGGACCAGTCAGCCCCTTGGTTAGGACCATGCTGTTGGACATGTCAAACCACCTCGTCAGCAAATTTCTGGTGCCACCACTTTTCTGCACCAGTTGTGATATTTTTTAATCGGTTTAGAAAAAACAGCTGTAATTTGTCAAAAAAGATTGTTGCTCAAACTCAAAAAATGATAAGTTGTCTATTTTTTATTTGGCAAATACATCAAAATTATAAATTTTAAAGATTTAATTACATATTAAGAAAAAATTGGTAAATCAACCTCTAATAGTATTTGGAATTTGTCAGGTTTATACAAAATATTTTTATAAAACAGTGATGTTATGTCAAAAGGCTTGTACTGTATTTATAATAATGTGTAAGTTTTGTCTCGAAGGTAAAACAAATAAAAAATAGTGAATGTATTCAGATGAAGTGGCATCGTAGCTTGATGCTCAGCTTACAAACAAAGTTTCTGTGTTCAAATCCCTAGGATTCTAAAAGTTATTTATGAAACTGAAAACTGCTCAACTGTTTTTTAATGAGTAGTTCTTAACTTTCGTATAATCTATTTCAGTGACTGAAAAAATCAGCCTGACAGGAAAAAAATTAATGACTTATTTCTTGGGTTACACAATAATTTATGAGTAATCTAACAAATACAGCTTGCCCAGGAAAAATCTAGCAACAAATCTAGAAGGTTTTAATGGAAAACTGATTGTCCGAGTTGTTGGACACATGTAGGCCTAATTTATATGACTCTGAGCCTAATAATTCTCCATTTTTTAGGGACAAATTTCCGTAGCAACCATGGAAGTCCCTAGAATTTGGAGCTCTGTGTATTGTACTTTGGTTACAAAATATTCATTGTTCTTCGATTATGTATTTCATATATTCAATTTCAATTCATGCTTGTTCTTCAGTTAATGAAGTGTGTGACGCAGTAGTAATGTTTTGACCTTTGAGGGGATTGGTTCAAATCTGGTGATGGTTAAATTGTTTATGTTCATGGATCACAGGCTTAACTCTTTCCACCCTTGATTGGAGTATAAATGGATAATTTAAACTTAAAATATTTCTCAAGGAAAGATGTTTGCATAGTGTGTATGGTTTATTTGGGAATACAGTGAAAATTCTAGTCCGGACTATCAAATTTTCTTTGACGAAAAACTGATGTATGCCCATATATGGTCGTGATGTGCCTATATATGGTCATGATATGATGTCATCATGACCGAATTTGTTCTGGTATGTCACATGTTTTTGTGAAACAAAAATTTGATAGTCAGGATAGGGGTTAAGAAACCTTCCTGAGGAAGAGAGTACAGGTAGTAATTTGTGCTCCCTTAATGGAATAGTTCTTACCACCAGGGTAGTTCTTTAAAGGAAGTGATTAGTGCATAGAGTTCCAATATTATGCACTATAAAACAGCACAGCTGATATATGATATTATATACCGCATACTTAGATTCTTGGCATCTGATTGGTTAGGAAGCGGGCAATAACTTCAACCATTACTCCTATGACGTAGGTTTGAATGATAGTTCATTTTTCTCCGTGGGAGAAGTACTATCACCCTAAATGATAGTTCATTTTTGCCCTGTCGCGATGTGTAACCTGTAGGCTGCTATGTTGCTATGTAATTTATGACACGAACGGACTGTAAAGGGTACACAACCTCTACGACTCTGAGAGAGATTGGCCCTTTTATCACCTAGCCCTAGGAAGTAAGCCTAGGCCTACATGGTGTGTAGTGTCTTTTCATTACATTCTTAGGTCTCGTAGAATCTATGTATGAGGTATGTAAAACAAATATTGACTGCTCTAGATTTGGGGAATGGTGAAATCATTAGCGTCTTAGGGATGTGGAGACCGTAGCCTATCTTTCTTCGGCCTTGGGGAAGATAGGCTACGGTCTCCACATTACGTCGGGGCAATAGATTTCACTATTCCTCTCATGACTAGTTGATATTTGTATACTATGGCACTCCCTATGGATTGAATTGATAATTATTAGAATACATATCACAAAAATACCCATACATAATCAATTATATACAGTAGATTTATTTTCGATAAAAACAATGTTTTTAACCTGTATGTAAGTGTATGTTACTCTATCTTAACTGATATTAAATTATATTTTTTTCTGAATACGTACGCTGGTTTTCGAATGGTTAGCCTCATATCATGTACAAATGTTTTGACATTAGTTCTTTGAATATTATGATTTAACTGTTGATTACATTTTGTCCATGACAATTTAATTAGTACAGTATCTCAAAATATAGTTTTTGTCTATCAAACAATTGAGTATGAATTATTATTTATAAGCCAGTGTTTTTTATATAAAGCCCAGTCCAGACTGTTGTATGCCCATATATAGTCATGATATGCCTATATATGGTCATGGTGTGCCCATATATAGTCATGATGTGCCTATATATGGTCATGATATGCCTATATATGGTCATGATGTGCCCATATATAGTCATGATATGCCTATATACTGTATGGTCATGGTGTGCCTATATATGGTCATGATGTGGCCATATATAGTCGTTGTATGCCCATATATAGTCATGATGTGCCTATATATGGTCATGATGTGATGTCATCATGACCATATTTAGGCATTTCCCATGTTTTTGTCAAATACATTTGATTGCCTGGACAGGGCTGAGAAGAGAGAAGTGTGGGAAGATTGAGAGCCCAGGATATTTTTTACAGGATTGGCAGATTAAAATAATGGCTCACATTAAAGTATTCTTTAAAGTCAGGCTCCGGAGGAAAAACATTTTTTGATATGTTGTAGAACTGATTTTTCTAAGACAGAAAAAAATAGTTTGATCAAAAACTGAGCAATGGTGAATGAGATACAGATTTTTGAATATTTAAAAATTGGGGGGAAAAAGGTGTAAAAATAATGGGCGGTTACGCCCCTTTTACCCCCAGTTTTTAAATATTCAAAAATCTGTAGCTCGTTCACCGTTCCCCAGTTTTATGTCTAACAAACTTTCTTCTGTCTTAGAAAGATCAGTTCTACAACATATCAAAACATTTTTTTCCTCTGAAGTCTGACTTTAAATGCATTACTGCCACCGCAATTATTTTATTTATCAAATCAATTTTAGTTTATATAGATACTTATATAGACACATACAGAAGGCAAAGCATGCACAAGAATTCCTAACAGAGTAAACGTGCGTGGTGTAATGTCGCTTCTTTGCTACCTCAACTCAATAAATGCCCATTTTTAACAATATTTTGGGGGGTTAAGGAAGTGTTTGAGGCAAGTCTACAGTGATCATACCTCACAAATCTCTACCATTGTATAATAGTTAGTAATATTACTAGTTTTTCTTAAGGTGGTGGTCACAAATTCCATTATGACCATTGTAAAAAGAGCCACTGCCTAAGTTATTATTTGGTTGTACTATATATGTTTCTCCCTCCAATGTATTAGGTTATAACTCAGTATTCCGGTGAATTGACATTTGATCAAATGACGGGGGTAATATTGTGGAGTGCTTTATGGCTGCGTGGCATCATGCGATATAATTGACAAAAATGCTGTTAAGTAACTGTCAAAGCTCTCCCTAGCTTTTAATGTCCACACTCTAAAGTCTTCTGTGTCTTAAAACCTTATTTAATAGTTATGTCGCCTCACGGCCACCTTTTAAGTGTGAAAAGGCAGTTAATTTTAAGCCGGCCCAAAGCCGACCTAAATTTAGTCCGACTCTAAAATCGGCTCAGGTCTCACAATGTGGGACCTGGGCCGACTCATCTTCATATCTAAACGTAAAGGGAACCTAGGTCGCCAAGGTTACTTTGATAGTGGTCGATCTTAAGCATAGCATTTCATGCAAAAACGCTGAACAAAGGAGGTAATGTAAACGTTCCCAGTGCGACCCTACAGTAAGTAATTTTGAGTCGGCCGTAGTCAAGGCGGCCTTGAGCCGATATAATGAGTGTGATTGGGCTGTTGACTTTTCCATATTTTATCCTGCCCATATTACCATATTAGGAAAGTAAACAAAAAATACTGTATTGTGTGGACAGAACAAGCAAAATAATTTACTAAATGCAATGGAAACAGGGATTCCAAGTATAGTATATTATTCTATTGTATTACTGTACTATTATTAAAATTATAAATTTCATTATAATTATTACTTGTATTAATATTTTATCTTTCCTGAGGACAAATGCCGACTCTGTCTCTTATACACATCTAGATGTGTATAAGAGACAGTATATATATATATATATATATATAATGTCAAAATAGCAATTAAAATTTACTTTCTTAGAATAGTGTTTTTGCATTAATTTAATATCTGAAAATATCAATAAATCATTTTTTTTTTAAACAAGCCAAACATGTTTAATGTTTCTTATGATACATTACATGTATATATATATTTTTGTGCATTATCAGCTTACAAAAATCTGTGATATGCAATACTTATTTTTTACAAATAAAAATTACTTAATTTAATAGAAGCTTTACTATCATTAGCAATGTAGTTTTCCTGGGTGAAATTCTTATTTTTATCAGTTTAGAATGTGTACAAAATGCTAATGATAGCGCTATGTGTATGTATTTGTATAGCATTCAAAGTATTGTATAGTTTTTGTTTTAAATATAAAAAGCAAATTGTATAGTTTTGTTGACTTTTGCTTTGAGTCTCAAGTAATATTTTTGTTTTTGTTTCTCAACGTATCTTTTATGTATCCAAGATCTTGAAAAGTGGATCCCAAATAGAAATATTACATTCACTGAAAGCGCAAAACTAGGAATGAAGATTATCTGTATACCATAAATTAAAGTGTTAACATCTAAAGTAGCTTACTTCACCATTTCATTATTATCCGTATCCTGCTTATTGCAGCAGGTCCTTATGCGATCTTGTGCCTTTCTCTCTATTGCAGCATAGCCACCCAATTCTAAATCATACAATAATCCCCCTTTTCACTTATTGCCATCATTACTATATAATTTTTTTTCACATTTGAAACAGTGCCTTATCACCCCATTTATTGTTCAAGTTTTTAGGCATAGTCAAGTGACAAAAAGAGGGCGCTCAAGCACCGTGACCTCCCCTGGTTACGCCACGATCTGGTAGAACCGAATTTGACATAAGCAAGTCAAAGTATAGGCATGTATTTTAATTTTTGCAGACTTTATTAATACTCTACCAGCCACTATAAAGAGTCTATACAAAAAGAAAATATTCTTTATAATATGCATATTTGGTGAAGAAAATATTTCTTGGCTCTACAACTGGAAGCTAAATATCAATAAAAGCAAAAATTCTGAATTTTATCGATCAAAGTTTAATAACTCAAAACAGGCAGTACCGTACCTCCATGGTACGGAATCAGAAGGTCAATGATTCAAGCAAGCACATTAGTGCACCAACTACGCAAATTAATTGATTTGTCAGACATTTATCTGAGTTGTGCAATGGCTTCTTCAAGCATATTTGACAAATCTTCATTATCATTATAAATGGCGTAGTCTTTTACTTGCTCTAACGCCGTCCGTGCCTCTGATGCAGTTTTAAATGTAGGCACCTTCAGAGGAACATCGTAGTCATCATCACTTTTATCATCGTTATTGTCTTCTTCAGGTTTCTTGACTATATTCCCGTCTTTGCAAAGTGGGTTATCTTGATCAATGCATTCTACATCCTCGCAGAAAGGTGCATCTGGAATCACATACTGATCATTAGCAGAGCAATCGCTAACTTTTCTGCATAATGAATCAAATTCCATCATGTCTTCGCCTCCAAATGGATCATACTCCTCATCGCTACCAGCAACTCTTGGTATAAGCCTCACCTTCTGAAAGCACTTCAGTATAACTTGCTTGTCAATTTCCTCCCAAGCTTTTCTGCCCCATTGAATAGACTGCAGTAGAGTTACTCTTTTGACACTGTCTCTTGCTGTTAGTCCATCACTGATTTTACTGCATACAAATTGCAGAAGCTTTTTTCTAAACTTCACCTTCCATAGATCAATTATACCAGCATCCAGAGGCTGGGTCTTTAAAGTTGTGTCTTTTGGCAGGAACTCTATCCATATATTCTGAAGCTCTTTTCCTAACTCTTTTGAGTGGCAGGGAGCACTGTCTATGAACAGAAGTACCTTTCTGTTTTCAAGACCCAACCTACTGTCCAACTTCTTCAATATAGTTTCCAGAATCTCACTTGTCATAAAACTTTTATCTGAAGCATAATAATCACATTGATAAGGACAAGACTTGTTCTTCAAATTGCTAAAGCACTTTGGGTGGCTTTGTCCTATAACAACTGGATCTTCTCTTTTGCCTTCTGCATTAACAAAAAATGCCCATGTCAATCGTTCTTTAACATTTTTCCCTGTACACTGCCCTCCTTTGGTTGCAATTGATTTTGATGGCAATGCCTTCCAGAAAACTCCGGTTTCATCCATATTCCAGATGTCCTTTGCCTCACAGTTTTTCATTAGTTCTTGTGCATGCTCATGCCAACTTTCAATTGACTCATTACCGACATCGCCATTTTCTTCGGCAACTTGCATGTTCAAAATGTCAATATACGTCCTATGTTTCCATTTCTGTAACCATCCATTAGAAGCGCTAAAATTATGTTTTCCAATCTCCTTAGCATATGAGAGAGCTTCCTTTCGTAAGAGATTATCATTCAATGGTATATTGGAATTTCGACATCTGATGAACCACTCCAAAAGATATTGATTGATTTCTGGATACTCCTCTTTTCTTCTTCTTTTCCTAACAATAGGACCTTTATAATTCCAATCTTGTAAGATCTCTTCCCTCTTTTCCAAAATTCTCTGGATTTGTGATTTGCTGCAGCCAAAGATTTTCGCTAAGCTTCGCTGTGAAATGTTTTGGTTTTCACTTCTATAATTTATTATCTCCACTCTTGTTTCAAGATCAAGACAAAACCTTTTCTTCTTCCCATCTATGGCCACAGAAAGTGATGGATGGCTGATGTTGTCTATATCAACGATGTCAGGTGAAATCCTTGTATCTATTTTGATAAAGAAAATGAAAGTTTCAATGCATAGAACTTCTAAATTAAAATGTGTCTTGTTTTCAGACATTTTACATTACAGCTTTACATAGTCACTGTATGTATACACAGTATTTAAAAAAAATCCCCTAAAAGTTATAATGGTTGCTCCCAATTAAGACAGTACAGACGGAGATAAAGTCCTTTACAGATCCTTGATAGCCTGGAGGATTCTTTCCTAAAGTAGAATTATTCTAAGATGGACATGGCATCCAACTCCTGTTCTTAATTCACACAAGGAAAACAGGTAGTATAATATAATAATTACCTTTATAGACCGACATTGTAATGTTGGATTCTTCCCACAACCCCAGGAAGCTCTAAGGCCAGACTCACAAGTCGTAATTTTCTATACAGTACGCTTTTTGTAATATGTTACAGCGCCACCAGCGATCTAAGTAAGCTTTTCAATTCCAATTGGAATCCGACACTTGAGAAAGTGTGGACCCACACGACGAATGCATCCAAGTTTAACGAATAAAAATAAATAAATACATAAAACTAAAAATATTAAATAAAAAATGTGCAAAAGTGTACTTTTTTCACGTGGGTACATAGATTTGGTACACCCGAATAATAATACAATAGGCCTATCCAGAAATTTGAAAGGGGGCAGCCTGAGAGAATTTCCTGAGGGATGGAGCAATACCCCTGGTTCCTAATAGACGGCACTTAAAATGGAAAATATCAGAGGTATCGATAGCTTCTACAGAAGGCTGTTAAGGAAAGCTATGAACGTAATATTCCCTAAGAAAATATCAAACGAAATAGTGAGGCCTACAAAATAATGCCAGCGGTAAAATCAGTGGTCCAAAATTATTGAAATCCGTCGTCTGTCATGGTTTGGACATAGACTACCTGAAGATGCACCAGCTAATATTGCGATGTTGGAAGCGGAACGACATTTTAAAAAGAAAAAAGGAGGACAAATGCCGACTTGGATGTCAGAATAACAAAGCAACTAAAGAAATTGGCGGGGAAATTGTCATGAGACTTACAAAGAGCATCGGGGGGGGGGGGGGGCTGGTCGGAGATCATGACAAACCAGGGGCACCAGTATGCCTATGGGCTGTAAAGCCCCTTCCTGCAAAAAGCAAGAACAAAAACTATGATTATGATGATGAGATGATGACGACGGCGATGATGATAAAAAAGGCAGCTAGACAAATTTGGTCCGCGAAGCAAATTACTCTGGCCCGCGAGAGAAAATTAAATTATAAAAAAAATAATTTGAGAAACTTGAATCAATTCGATAAATATTGTTTCAATAAAGTGAAGGCCAAAACACAACACTGGGTCAATGTGAAGTAGGGTGACCCCACCCAGATTTAGAATTAAATCCGTTACCAACTAATCGGCAAACGCCAAAGGATCGGTAGGCCTAGTCTTAGTTTAGACAAAAGCCCTGGTAATTGGTGGATATAGGATAGGATAGGTGAAATCAGAAAATACAGATTGTCTGCCAAACTATTTTATTTGTTGAACACATTTTGTATGGCTGATAAGAAATACTGTTTTTGTCACGATTATATGCCTAGGCCTATAACTTTATGTTTGGTTGAAAATACTCCTACAGTAACATGATTATTATTACCAGGGAGTTGTTGTCTGGACGACGTCCGAGCAGGTAACAATATTTTGTTAGGCGTAAGAAGCAAGGTCAATATGATAGAATAAAATTATCTAGTTTTACACTTATAGTAGGGGAAAAGCCCAATTCAGGAAACGATACTTCGCCCACAGCCTTACAATTGCACAAAGAAAGGAAGACACGACAAGCTCTATTCAAGTTCCTGCCCTGCCGTACTTCGGCATATATTGGCACTGATAAATAAGTTATTCTGATTTTGGCTATATTTATTTTAGCTGGACGTGGAAAACAAATCTCTGTATGTAGGCATATGGACAAATAAAAATATCTGAATAACAAAACGCAACAGTATAACTACATATAAAACTAAATAAAGATTTGGTAAATCGCATTCGTTTTGCCGAATCATTCCCAGGTATAAGTAACGGTGTATGCCTACAATGTTCACAAAGAGCTAGCATTGTTGGCTCTACCAAAATCATAGTACAAGTACGTATAATGTAAAAAAAAATTAAACAACTTGATTAGTAAGGTTAATTAAGATTTAGTGCTCATCATCTTAATGATTTAAGTGACATATAACAGAGCCATCATGAGTTAGGGCCCTATACAGAATTCTAGTAGGCCTAAACATGTTTCTTAAACTAATAATTTGAAGCCCTCGGCTTCTTTTTTGCGAACTTAGATGGGCTTCTTTTCAAGATTGGCTTCTGTTCGAGGTTTTGCAAAGTAAAGGGCTTTTTTCAAAGTGAGTGCTGTAAATTTTGTGAATTTGTACTATAAAACAATAAATACGGCCACTGTAACATCAGCCTGTATCATGGAGTGTATTTAACTGACATTAAATCACCTAAACTACTGTATAAACCATTAAAAAAATGATTTTGTGTTTTTTTTTTATAAATATGTTTAGTGTATAAACAGGGCCTACTATCTCGAAAAGAAATTTAACATATCTTGAAAAGAAGCCCACCGGGCGAGATGGACTTAATTTCGAGGCTAATTTTGCAAACTAAATCGAGATGGGCTAGCGCTTCATCTCGAGATTAAGTCCAGTGGGCTTCAATTCGAGGTTTTTCTTCGAAGGTTTGTATGGCGAATATATTGGAAGAAATTAAGCCACGATGAATGAACACTGTCTGGCCATGCACCTATTAGTGGCCGGGTCACGTCCGATTTTCTATATCAAGCACTCTTTTCATAACCCACTTTTTTTAGGGAAACAATGGACCACCGACGATCACCACCACCTCTATAATAGACTATGGCCTATTTCAAGACCAACAGAAGTCATCTTTTATTCTGAGCGTTCGGAGCAATCTCACTTATTTTTAACACCTGGTGTACCGACAGTTTAATGATTTTGATATGTTTCAAATTAATAACCAACTGAGATGCACTAATGTTTAAATAAAATAGAACGTTACTCCGAATAATTGTAGCATTTTTTGTAATAGTGTCCAAGTATTCTCATTCCTGAAGACGACCCAATAAAGGTCGAATTACGTCGAATCATGGCTTCCCTTTCTTTATTCGGAGTAATCTGTTCTGTTATGCAAATTAATAATACTACAAAAAAAGCCTGTTATAAATTTTCTTTTGAAACTTTTATTACCATATCTTATTATGTTTAGAATCACATACATTATTTTGTTAGAGATTTTCAGGAATAGCATTTGTCGAAATGTCTAAAGCTCTTCCACTAGGCAGTGGCGGCGCCAGGACTTCTCTGACAGGGTGTACAAGGTCCCCGACCGGGGGGGGGGGGAACCTGGCGTCCCCGACGAGAACAAAGTGGGCGTGGTCGGGCGTCGCTAAAAACCTTTCGAATTTGGTCCAGGGGACATAGTTCCCCGAAAATATGACAATTTAGGGGTTTCAAAGGCTTATTTAATCGATCTAGTGTCTGTTAATATGTACAAAATAATTTGTTTTAATTTTTTTTTTCTTCCCGACGAATTGTGGTTTTTCTCCCCTGGGGTGGGCCTGCATCCCCCTAGCACCCCCACCTCCCCCGTAGCGCCGCCACTACCACGAGGCCCCCTAATACGCATTGGTACTGTCCTTACTAATAGTAATATCAAAGAATATAAGACCTCTATCTATATTCTTTGGTAATACTTAGACCAAAACAACTTTTCCTTATGTTTACAACTGATGCGATGTTATTAGCCACTCGGAAGGTGTTTGAGATAGACAAATACACAGTAGATGACATGTTTGTAACTAACGACAGAGTTTGTTGATGCTCAGATTTCAAAATAAACATGCTTAACAAAATTTATATGTTTTCCCCCAAATTTAAAACATACATTAGGCTTATGCATTCTTTGGTGCTTCTGATTACGAATTTTATCTGTAAATTAAGGATGCCCGGCAATAAAAAACATTTTAGAAAAGTTTAATCTTCATCAATTTCGCCACAATTGTTACCAATATTTATTTTGTTATTAAAAGTAATGATTAATTAATCAAATAACTAAATTTATTGAGTTCGATTTTTTATAAATTATAAAGTTGCTGCACGAATATTTCGTATAAGCATGGAGGAATCCAAGATTCTGATTTGGTAGTTGAAAAAAGATGGCGCTATTTACGTGACAATGCACTAGAAAAGCTAATGTTACAACAAAAAAACACACGTATTGTTAAAGTTTAAAGCATTAACTATAAAGAAATATATATTTTATCAGCTTGTAAAATAATATTTGACTCAGCAGCACGTACTTGAGGCAAAATAACTTCTAACAATTAAATTAAACTATCATTAATCCTATTTGCATTTAAGAAAACTAAAATTAATCAGAGTATTTTATCATTATCTATATAATCATTCTTTTATACTTAATAATTATTACTATAATTATGAATACAACTGCAAATACAAAAATATAATTAGTAAATAATTACACAATTACACAATAAACTAATTAGAATATTAATATTTGAATATTCATGAGGCAGGATAAAGATAATAAAATGATCATAGTTTTATATACTTTTATATTAACCATCTTTATAGACTATTACAATACTATACAAATGTATGGCTAACAAAAACACAACACATCAACTGGTGCCATCCAAATATGTCACACACTGATTCACATCAAAAATAAAAGTTTGAGTATTTTGATGATAACCATAGTACCAAAAGGAATAGGCTCACACAATAGGATGATCCTATGACCAAGGAGGGTTGGGTTACAAACATCAGTGTCTGAGGAATATCAACAGGGATGGTGCCAGGATTTGCCTGATGGAAGGGGGGTCCAAGATCACTGACGGGTGGGGGAAATGTCCCTAACAAAAACAACATGGGCTTGGTCGTGTATTGCATAAATCTTTTTAAAATGATCCAGGGAATGAAGCCCCCGAAGAAAATATGACAACTTAGGGCTTTCCAAGGCTTATTTAATTGCCAGTGCCACCCCTGGGGTGGGATATACCAGGAAAGGGCAGGAAATGGGTGGAGTATACAAGGTAAGAGATGAGTGAAGCATTGAAGGAGTTTGTCATGGTGATGCAAAAAAATTTTCGGACAAACATCTATTTTTTAATTCCTAAATATATTTTGGCTTCCACTACAGGAATTATTAACAATCTCTCCTAGAAATACTGTACGACTATTTAAATAGTTGCTGAATGATATAAATTGTAAGGAAAAATTATAAACTTTATCATTTCTTCAAATATTTTGTATGATGCCAATTTCATAACACCCAAATTTGAATTTACAACATTTTGCAGCATCGATTTATTAATTCTCCAAAGTGATGGAATTTCAAATATAATTATCTTTAAAGTATTCTTTATACAGGAGTTTAAAGATACCTTTTACATAATTTGGCATCTCCTTTCCACTAGCATTCTCAGTTGTTCTTTAATTGCTCAGTAAAAAAGATGGAACACACATAACAGCATATTTAAACCTTCAATCAATCAATCATCAATTGTTGCACATTCACACAGAAATAAAACATTAGGCCAAGATACTATACCAAGATAATATAAACAAATGTGGTCATTATTATGTATTGCACACACCAGTACTTTACACATTTACCAAATTCCATTTGAACGCAACTTTGCTCCGCACAGGGTTGAGAGAATAGTTCAACTGATCCCCTTTGGTTACGGGCCTGCGAACTATCAACAGTTAATCATTATCAGTGATTACTAGTACTATTAAAATAGCATAGAAGCAAACAGTTATAGTCTTCTCATTACATTTTTATCATTCTTCAGTGGCGGATCCAGGAATTCGAAATAGAGGAGGGGCCTAGGAAGGAACTTCCGCAAATAGACGGTCTTGACCACCTCCACCCTACCATGGTTGGGCCTGAGGAAAGAAAATTTATGATTTTGGCACCTCTAGATGGCCGGAAATGGCACTCTCAGACTTTTTTTCTCCATTATTTTTATAATTTTTATAAAATTTAGGAGGCTCACGAGCTGGCTTGGCCTCCCTCCTCACCCCCTTGAATCCACCACAGCTGTTCTTGCTTAATCCGTGAACTGTGCTCTTCTCTGCTGAAAGAAAAACTGGACGACATCATCATAGTAGTCTTCAGACAACCAGAAGCACTGCTGAGGATCCACATAGCTTGAGCTAAAATTTTATAATAGGAGGGGAAAAAAAATTGTTACACAAAGTCTTCATAATTTTGAGGGACATGACATATGATTGTTATGATTCTTAACACGTTCGCTGCCAGCGACGTGTATACTTGTCCCACAGGATGTTGTTAAGGGTGCTAGAGACGACTATACTCGTCAAAACCGGGGTAATATTTTAGCGTTTATTCCTTCATTGTTGTACTGTAGAACCACAGACATAACGGCTGATGGTTCAGGGAAGATACCCCTAGACGATAACGTACAAATAAAGTAGTACTTTTGTTATGCTATGTTGCTGGCATTATAAAAAATGGCACGAGTGGATGGCACCCTCTGAACATACACCAACGCGTGCAAAAAGAGGACGAGAAACTCGCACTTGGCAGAGGCAATAGAAACTACACATTGCTAGCGACGAGGTTACCCGTCCCCTAATATTTTGGCACCAATTCATTAGACACACCATTTTGATATGCTACATGTATACTAGTTTTGGTACATGGGACAAGACTTAAAAAACGGTCTAGCGGTCAACGTGTTAATCAAATTGATTTTATATCAAAGTATGTTGACATACTACATACGTAGGAGAGGTCTGCACTCACCAAAAGATAGATAAAATACTCACCTTGTTCCGTTGCAGAATTTCACAATGATACAACCATCATTTGTTCCGACGACTTTTCCGGGCAAGTAAATAAAGGACACTGCATTGGCAACTGCCAGTACATGGTCTTGCAGGGCTAGTCTCTGTCGCCGTGTGAACGTACCAAAGATGTGCTTGGTGAATTGTGAGCTTACTTGGCCATCGGCCCATTCCAGATGGAATTTAAAGGTTTCGTCGACTCTTTCCTTGATTGATGCTGCGGTAGAGAAATAACCAAAATATAAGTCAAATTTTTCCAACAATTCTTAATGAAAATAATTTGGGTAAACACTATCACATTTTTTACATTTAAGTTCACTCCACTTTTACGTTATTTGTTATTGGTATTTCCTTTAGATTAAAAGCAATTTGTTTTCCCTAGACAATGGGTCCACATGCTAAAGCGTGCTGCCATAACTGGAGCAGTAACAGGCAATTCTACCAGGCACCCATATACAGGCTCCTGGGTGGAGAGAAACAACGCAGATACAGTGCCGTGCTCAAAAAGACACAACCGAAATGCACAGCGTGGGATTGAAAGCTGACCTCTCGAGGTTGGAAAACTAACCTGTTCCCGCTGCATCAAACTGCTTCCGCAAATATGTGATTTGTATATAAAAGGCTTTCCATCTTAAAATCAGCGTACTGTCGCTGATTGTTAAACTGAGTTATTAACATACCTTAGCACAGAGAGGCCATAATACTTTTACTTTTAAATCGATCCTAGTAAACGACCCATATAATGTGGAGCATATAAATATATTAAAAAGTCAATTTTCATGTTTTTGTTACTGGGTTTGGCATGGAAAGCCTCATATGGTCTGTACTTGGAATATGTATTATAATTTCTAATCTGAGATTAATCAGTCAACCTTTGTGAATATCTTTGACCCATGTGTTAAAATATAAAACATTGCTTAAAATTATATTCATCTTTAACAGGAATTTATCTCATGACCAAAATGACCCTGTAGCTCTAAAACAATTAATAAAATTAAAAAAAACCTTACCTAGATGGTACATGCCATCGTCATCGTTCCTTGCCACCACAGCGGATCCTATCCATGATTCCTCACAGTTCTTTATATATGCCACAAGCTCCCCGTAAAGTTCTGTATTAATTTTGTAAATCTCTTCTCTCGGAACTTTAGCCTCCTCATCATCATAAAACAAAACCTGACACCACAGATCGGGGAATGAACGCGTGACTTGCGCAGGTGCGTAGCGGAAGGGGTAGTCAGGGTGAAGAGCAACGACACAGTCCCCAACCTAAATGAAAAAATACAAAATTGGTTTTAAAGAATTGGAGTAATGCAATTTCCAAAATTACAAATCTATATAATTATGGATAAAAGGTATAATTACTATCAAATAAACCATATAGTGTTTATTGCTGTAACAAGACTCCCACATCATAGCATATCAATTATAGCAGGGACACATACAATGGTCTGTGTTCTATGACAATAGCAATAGTTGGTTATCACCATTATCATCATTAGATTTTTACCTGTATGATTATATCTGAATCTTCTTTATCTGTGAAAATATATTTTTTTGAGGTTTTCTCAATAGCTCCAACGTTGTCCGATACAAAATATTGACCGTCTTCTGCTAAATTTTCTATTGTTCCTTTAATGAATGACAAGTAATCAATTAGTCAATACAGTGTAATCAATAATAATTACTGTTAATCAATAATAGTAAATAATCTATAAAATATGATTGATAATAAATATTTTAATTTTACAGTACACATAATAAATCTGAATTCAAAATAATTTGTAATGATTTCTGACATACATTTAAGCTTGGACCACATACTATCAAATACTTGATAAAAAAATGTGATATGCCCATATTTGGGTGTAAAATGACATCATCATACCCATATATGGGTACATCACATATATTTGTCGCATCCAAATTGGTAGTGTTGCATGAGCTTATCAGATGTAACTATAAAAAAGCATTCTATGTGGGTTACAAATCATACGTTGCACCTACCTCTATAAAACCAGCCGTCTACAGGCCAGCGAGCAAGAACTTCTTCTCCTTCCTCAATTTCGTCTTTGTCCTCCCCCTCCTCTTCAATGGACTCTTCCACTTCTTCATTTTCACTCTCTTAAGTAAAATATCAAAATGAATTAATAGAACTTATATAATAATAGCATTGTAATGTGAATCATGAAACATAAAATTTACATTATGCATTCCTACCAATTATATCAGCAATATTTATTTGTATTTCCAGAGACACTTGCATTTTTGACTGAATGCAGAGGTTGCAGTGATTAACAAATATATTTAAAAGTTAAAATAAATTTGAAATGTAAATTAAATTGATTCCAAACCTTCAATGAATTAACATATATTTCTATTAAAGATTACATAACAAAAAAGTACCTGTGATAGTTGAAATATCTGATGTTTTGCAAGTTAAGACCTTTGAAATATTAAAACCCATTATGAACTAAAACATAGAGCATGTCCTTGCTACTGTCGAGTCAAAAATGTTGTATACAGCAAATACAAGGCAGAACCAATATAACTAACAGATTTAATCACATATTGTATTCAACTACAGTTATCCAGAAACACAATGCAGTATACCAGCACCACCACTAATACTAGACAAACACAGACATGTGGATGTGACAATTAACCTATCAAAATGTAGGCCTATTTATTTCCACATGACTGAAGCTTTAATCTAGTATATCATGAAGTATAAACATCACTTCAGCTGCTATTAAGTGACCCCAAGGCATTTCATCATACAAGTCTAATGACATACCTATTTAATGGAATATAGGTATAGTATATGAGGGTTGCTAATTTATGAGATATGCTGCTGTTTTGTTTTTGTTTGATTTTATTAAATTTTGATATGATTTTGAGGCTCCCTAGGTTACAATGTGTCAATTAAGGTCACAATTTAAAGTTGGGAAGATTTTTTTTCATTCCCATAATCCTGTGCTAGTCCTAAAGATTAAACTTTCCTAACAGTTAAAATAAATGCGCTCTGAATTAGATCAATGAACGTGCTCTGGTGCGTGAAAAATTTGGTAGTATAGGAGACTTTAAAACTGGTTATTTTAATTAAAATGAAATTCTTACCATTTTCTTTCCTTGATGGATGGGCTACCTCTGATTGGGTGCTCTGTTCATGAGTTAATATTCGCTTAGTAAACAACTCCTGGAAAAAATAAAATAAAAAAGTATATTATAAACAATCAAATTTTAAGATATAATCACTATAATCCAATGAAATTCCAAAACCATTATTAAAATGGAAAAAATAAGAACAAATGCCAAAGCACTGTAAAAAGTTTAATTAATGGCGAATTTCTATTAAACTGTTATCTGTAGGTCTATCAGGACGCGCCCTCTCTTCTGCATTTAGCATGTCATTGTAAATGTTGGAATGATTGGTGCACTTATGTATGACTTATGATGCAGGGTGATGACCCCTTACCACCTTTAGCAGCAGTTCAGGTAAATCTGACAGACCTCGAAACATTCAGGTAAATCCTTGTTTTTCTATTGGTTGACTGTAATTATAAAAAATCAATATCGTCATGACAACAAGATGAAAATTTTGAAGAATACCTGTTGTTTGTCTATGAGTTCTTGTTGTTTGTTTTGCAGTTCGCTGTGCCTATCCTGAAGCTGGCCGTGCTGGCTGTCATAACCTTGCTGCACCTCTTTGATCTTTTTAACAGTTTCTTTCAATTCCTCGCGTAAATCCTGCCAAGAAAAAACCCCAAATACTGCCATTGTTATCTCTATGAATAAAGTCTAGCTACGATTTATATTGTAGAATTGTTTGGTTCAGTATTCGGTTTTATATGTTATAAAATGATATGAACCTCTCTATGGCTGCTACAATAGTCACTGACCATGCCCAATGATGCTGCGAGTTATGGGTTATTCTCCTACCTTTCTTTAACTTATTATCATCAACACTAGCATAGTCAAGACAGTCATCATCTCCATCATAATCATCATCATCATCATCACCAATGAGGATACATGCTACCATAGCCAATCATATAATGCACATCTGAGAATGTTTACATTTCAGACGGATGAATTTTTGCTGAGCAACATTATGTATGCATAGTGCCATCTTTAAGTAAAAATATCTAAGCGTGATCAGAAAACAAAAAAAATAACTTGGAACTGACCTCTTGTGTCTTAAAGTGATCTGACTGTTGACGGTTCAACTGCTCTTGGAGTTCCTCAAGTTTCTGAAGGAACTCTCTCATGGATCCACTACTTACTCTTGAATCTACCATGTCAGCTTCATCATCACCAGTAGTAGAGTCACCATCATTTGCTGATTCTCTGTGCTTGCTGCCATCACTCTTTGCACTGTTGTTTTCATCATCATTTTTCTGAGTCTTCTCATGGTCTGGAGATGGTGATCTTGATCTTGACGAATTCTTTGACCTCGCAGAAGACAAACGAGTTTTTGATTTTGCAGATGACTTGGATGAGTGAGATTTTTCTGATGACTTTGAGTGTGAGCTTGATGACCTTGCATGTGAGCCTTTTGAGCCAGTGGATGAACGTGACCTTGACTTTCTAGAAGATACTGAAGACCTTGCGGATCCAGATCTTGAGTGAGAGGATCTTGAGCGCGAGGATCTTGAACGTGAGCGTGATGATCTTGAATGAGAGTGTGAAGATCTTGATTGGGAACTCTTTGATGATCTAGAACCAGACATTGACCTTGATTTTCTTGAAGATCCTGAAGATCTTGCTGACCTGGATCTTGAACGTGATCTTGAGTGTGAATGCTCAGAAGCACTGGATTCTTCTCTTTTCTGTTTAGTGTCAGCTGATCTTGACCTTGATCTGCTGGATGACCTTGAGAGTGACCTTGACCTTGATCTACTGAATCTCACAATAGAATTCTTTCCTATAGGTGATAGACAAACCAATGTATAGCATTTAGTAAATCTATTTAATAAAAATGTTTGCTTTTCACACTGTTATAAAAATTCTAAATTTATATAAAAAAAAACTGATTGCCAATCAGTACCTTTATCCCCACTCTCTCTATCTTTCTTCTTCTTTCTCGAGTGTCTGTGTCTCTCCCTTCCTCTGTGCTTCTCTGTTTTCTCCTTTTTATGTTTGTGTTTGCTGACTTTCACTGTTTCGTTCTCTTCTTGAATTGTAGGATGATGACTAAAACAAAATAAACAAGTCAGTAGTGATGTTGTTAGCCTATGAGTGAGATACTTATCTGGATAAACCGATAAATGCAAATGCTTGTAAATATATTTGTATTAAATGGATACGGAAAAAAATATTTAAAAAATATGTATTTATATTAAATCAATACTGAAAAAGTAACAAAAACAATACAATAAAACCAGTGCATTTACATTTTACATTAGATTTTGATTGAAATGTCTTACTTTTGAAGGTCTAGCCCTTGCAAATCCCAAATATACCTCAGAGCGAAGTTGTAACGAGACTTGGTTATCTTCACAATGGAGTTGCGCTGAACATTAACCTGTGGGCAGAGGCATTTAAAAATTCTAAGTAGCAAATTCCTTCAGTGTTTTCTCATCATTACTACAATATTTTGGGTTGTGTGAGGATGGGATAATTGAGGATGCTGTAAACTTTCCAGCAGACATGCACCAATTTAAACAATTCAGAATCAGTAATATATTGAAATGAAAAATAAAAAGTTGGATAAATGAAATCAGGTGGGGGAAATGAAGTGTATATGAGCTAATTTATAACTACTTAATTTTTGCGGTGTACCGCAAGCATTAATATATATAATACTTAATTTTGTTTGTGTTGTTCGTTTTCAGTGGGATCAGCAAACTAGTGGGGTGCAAACTTTTCCTTGGGGTGCTCCTTAGGTACACCATTGATCAGGAACTTAGGAAATAGATAAAACATATTTTTACACCATTACATGTACTATTAAAAAGTTGGAATACATTTTAAAAAATAGTCTACAACTGTCAGGTGTATTGACACCTGTAACATTAAATGACGTTGATATTTCTTGTTGATATTAAAGAAGATGAGTAGAACTACGTTGCATCAAGTTTTACTATTTACTTACCGCTTTGTTGTTAAACTTGATAACGGTGTAGAACTTGGCTTGTCTTGCTTCTTGAATTGGCGTGACTTGAACCATACCTGGTACCCAGCACTGGTAGGGCACTTTCCCGGTTTTTACCAATACATAATCAGCGACCTGTGAAATTGATGCAAGCAGTTATTAGAGATAGTAAAACTAAGAAAATATGGATTGGCTACGGAAGAATGCAGGGTTCAAGTTTTAGATAATTAAAGAATGTCTAATAGAAACTTATTTCAACAAAATTACGAAACAGTGATTTGTGATCAGTATTTTTATCTGACGATCAATCATTAAGTTGAGATTAATGTAATTTAGGGATGCATGAAATCCCTGACAACAAATAAAATGCGAGTAGCCATCTGTGTTTGAGACAGCTCCCAAAAACAGCGAAGTAGATGAGGTTGACAATCACTTTAAAACTAACAATAACAAAATAACTTTTGTTTATGCTTAGTCACCTGAAGAAGAAAATTGCATGGGGAGGGGGGCTTTGTTCTCTAAGGGCATTGACTTATGGTCACTAATGGTTACCTGATGTATGGTACTTACCCTGAGGAAGGGGCATGGCCTGGCTCCGCTCATGGGAATGACAAAACGAGACGGCACCAACCGCTGGGTAATATCATGGAACTGGACCTCAACATGCCTTGCATTTGGAACATCAACAACTGTACCTGTAGTTTGAATGCGATAATATAATTTATCTATTTTTGCTGAGATAAAAGAAGTCCCATAAGATCGTATATTATTTAGCATATTATTATTTTCAAGGGGAAGGGGTAAATGATTGTGTTGTTTAGGGAAAAGAAGAGGGAAGAAGGGTATTTTTTATTGTTTTAGAAAAAAGTTAATTAGTTTGTTTAGTTGAGAGGGGAAGCTTTTGAAATGTTCAGGGAGGAAGGAAGAGATTAATTTAAGTTGTTTTAGTTGGGTTTTTAAGTTTTAGTTGCTCTTTTAATTTGATATGTCTGTAATCATCTGTCTTCAAGGTTTGCATTTCAGATGTAACTTTGTTCTAAGTGTGCCAATGATATAAAAGTCCAAATAAATATTGATATTATTTAGTACCATGGGTTGTGAACAGTATTCACAAATTCACAAGAATGAGATTGCCTATTTCTAGAGTAAGAAATTTACATAATAATGTATGATATCATTTTAGCTTGCTATATTTATATGTATGTCTGTTGGTTGTTGTGTTTTTGTATGGAGAGCTTCTCGATAGTAATTCTGTTTACTTTAGGTTATCCTCAGGCTTGTGTCTTTGTTATACTGTATTTTATATTGCCTGGAAATAATAAATGAAATTGTTTCTCTCTCTCTCTTCGACCCAGCTAAATTCATTGCACTATAAAATCGTCAAAATTGTTGTTGTACCTATCATCATCACAATCATTATCATCATAATCACTGTCCATCGTTGTCACCGTCGTATTCATATAATCTCACTTTATTTACCCTTATAATAGAACCCATCCTCTTCACTGCGTGCTATCACTTGCATTCCATTCATTTTGTCTAAGACGCAGCGTACACGGCGCTTGGTAAGTGGCTTCTTGAGTGGTTTGTCAACAGTTTTCTCACTACCGGTGACCAAGGCATTGAGGCCCTAGGAAGATAAAAAGGAATGGAATAAGGGAATGAATGACTATACAACAAACATAGTAATGAACCTCTGTACCTTCTGACATACTCAATTGAGAGACACACAGGAAAGGCTTAGTTGAGTCATGGAGGTGTAACACTTTCATACCTCAATCAATGCCCTAAGTGCCTTAAAACCAAACACTTAAGGTTTGTCATCCCAAAACCAGAGTACTGTATTAAATTAGTACAAGAACGTGGCACTAGTGTACAAATTAATTGTACAAAGAAGCCATAATACTTTTACTCATAACTTTGGCAATAACAAGTCATTTTCAGTAAATGACCAATCATTTTACAGCTTACATTGTGGAGAATTAGAATAATATATTAAGTAAATTTTCAGTTTTTAGTCACTGATACTGGTTTTGGGATGTGCAGCCTCAATTGAACTTGATTTCTCAAGCCGATATCATTCTGATATTGGGAGGTACATAAGGTTCATTCTATAACAACTATATACTGCAATGAATAACAAAATGAGATAGATACAAAGGCAATACAGGGCTCAAAAGGAAAAAAAAGCTCATGCAGAGATAGACACAAAAAAAGTTGACAAACCAGCTCAAAGTATATTGCAAATTAAAAAGGTAACAAACCCAGAAAAAATACTACAAAAAACTGAAAAATACGTGCCTGCTCTAAAACTTTATTGCCAAAGAGTAATGGAATGCTCCAAAGAATAGCAAAACACATTTACAAGGAAAACAAAGACTAAGAACAGACATATGCTTGCAGAAAAATATGTATTGCTTATACACATAAAAGCTAACACTTTATAACTGTTGATCTATACGTTAAGCCGGGCATTCATTGCGTCTTACGATGGTTGTACCATCGACCGTAGTGAACTTAACTCTGCTTCCTGTAAGCAATAGACGATGCAACGCCCTCTGTTGATTGCCCGTGGCAGTCTCAATGGATCATCATTAAGAACGATTCGTTGCGCATTCTTCGAAGAATCGCATTGGCCGATGACTGCCAGGCGCAATGAGTCATGGCTTTAACACCACTAATTTAAGTACATTATCCAACCATTATTAAATAGTCCTTAATTACTTTCATAATTATTAATTATTTGTTCTTACAGTATTTAGACAAACACTCACTATAAATTGTATATCTATGTGAAAACATTAGGCATTATATCTCTCAAAAATAAAAATTACACAATATATTTGATGATGTAATTTTGTTGGTTACTTATATTCTAATTAAAAAAATAAAATTATGTAGTATACACTTCTCTAAAACATTTCAAATTATAACTCATAATGAAGTAAGGAATGTATAGACTAATTTAGAAGAATATAGAAGAATCAAATCAACAACTTAGTAGGAGATTCAACCAAAGAAGTATTACAATACAGTAATCAATCTACACTGTTATATCCATCACACAACTAAATTCAGAACTGTGGCAGTGTCAGTTTGGTGTACCAGGGGGAACATTACCCCACAACCCCACCAGGGAACCCTGAACATACTCGTTAATACATTGTTCTACTACTTTAAAAAATAGCAACATGTGTTTGAAGGTATTGTATTATATTTTTATAAAATTAATTTTTAAATATCTACATCATATTTTAAATCTATATGTATATTCTTTTATTGAATTTGTAAAATCAAAAATATGTACAACCCCATTAGATAAATTTAAAATTACTGTATTGTTCTACTGTGCAAATAAAGTTAAATTGAGTTTTGAATATCTTTGGTATTTCTAGCATTATCCAATAAAATCTTCTTTCAAATGTCTCTTTAATTACTGGAAACACATAGAGACATAATGGTAACAGGAGCCACGTGGCATATAGTTGGTAAGAATGTAAACTGACACATCGTGAATGAGTCACTACGTGATATGTTGTTCAGAGTGTTTATGTAAAGGCACATCACTGATTTAAATACAGTTAAAACTCGTCTAACTCAAATAATTTCTAAGTCGATCTTATTTTACATGGCAAATTGTTCTGTTTTCCATTAAATAACGATCTGTAAGTACAATTGTAGTCGAACAATTTTTCAATGTCATTTGGATTTGACTTAGTGATTATTAAATGGTTTGAATGAGAGTAAAGGTGTTTCATTCCTGGAACAGTTAGGCCTAGGCTCCTATATCTTGGCCAGTTCACACACAGCAATGGTGTTTTTCGATCTGCATTGTGTAACTGGGACATAGGCTAGCTCTGGGCTTGAAAAGATCAATGCCAGGCTCTACAATGCAAAAAAAATGCCAGTATGAGGATAAACAATCATACTGCCACTTATTGCGATTTATTTCTTATATTATAATTTTGGCATTGCTTTAAAAATTATAAAATTTCATCTTCTTACAATTTTACACTGATGTGCTGTATTGTATACCAACTTTAACGCCACATGACCCACTAACACATTTTAATCAGAGTCTCTCAAACTGAGAGCATCATCGTCTTCATTCTCATCTACCTCATAAGTTGGGGTGTCAGTCCTCCTCGAAAATGCATCATCCTCAAACACACTGCTATGATTGGATAACTTTGTACGAGGCGTATCATCTTCTGTCCCTGCCTCCTGTGGTGTATAATCTTCAACCTCTTCATCTTTGTTATTTTTCTTAGAAGCGTTTCGTAGGTCCACGCTCTGCTGGAGGTATCTATAAGCCTTTTCAATCTCCTCTTCAAGGAGGATTATATCCTGTTCTTTGATTGGCCAGCCAATTCGGTCAAGTGCATCCAAACAGTCTCGACGATTCTCAATGAAGGATACTGGTATATCTGAATCAAATCTAGGAATAAAGAAACCAAACAAAAGTTTACTATTGTAAATGCTGTTTGTGTTTTGTTTGTGTTTATTATTTTGAAAATAGCATCTACCTTTCAATACGGATACTTCAGATTACCAAAGAAAAAAAAATCTGTAATTAAACTATTAACATTTTACAAAATCTGTAATTAAACACCAACATTTTATAATCATTCTTTATGTTTGTGAATTTCTGATTTTTTGCATTTGTAATGTTTTATGTTGTTAATTGTTTTGCCAGAATGAATAAAATAAATATAACCAAATATCACTGCAATGGGAAGAAGTTTTCTAGAATGGATACACTTTGGATGGAATTATTTTCATGGGATTTGAAGTTAAAAAAAACAATAGTAATAGTTGATATATTCACAAGAAAGGCTGCTTCATTATTCTTACCTGTCCTTTTCATCTTGTGGAAGAGCCCTCCATACTATCTTGTCCAGCCTCACTGTATATTCAACAATGGCCTTTTGTAGTTTTTCTTCATAGGCTTCTAGGTCCACTGCACCAGGGTTGATAAGCTGGACTTCACGGCGATTGCTACCAGTAGTGTGAGCGAGAGGGATCACCTGCAAAAAAGAAAAAAAAAAAATCTGAGATGATGAGAATCTTTTGATCTAATGCCTGCTACCCACTATGTCATGGTCGGTAGCTGACGTGATTCAATTAGATTGCAAAAGTAACAATGCATTGGGCGACGACTATTTACTTAATTGATGATCTACTTGACTGCAACAGATGGTCATTGGCGTTGCATCAGCAAGCACTCTCGCAGAGCACAGATGAATTCTTTTTGACCATTCGTTGATGCAGTAGAATGTAAATCAATTTTTTCAATCTGAGACTCATTTTGAAGTTGGCAACTCTTTAAAAGGAGCCTTATACCTATAATTATGGAAAGTTTTTCAAAAGTTTATAATTGATAGCATATACTTTAGACATTTAAACAAATTTTGGTTATTACTGTTTTGGTAAACAATTTTTCTTGACCACCAAAACTGAATGATACTGGAGTTGAACTCAGTACTCTGAGATTAAAGGATAGCCACTATAACCATTAATACCTTGATTTATCAACTTACTTCATCAAACACTTTTGAGATGACATGCTTGTCTAAGATGGGGACATACTTGGATCTCTGGCGTATCATGGTTGGGCCTAGAGCGTCAATGATTGTCAGTTTCTTAGCAGCAATGCCATGCTTCTTAAGCCACTGCCTTGATGACATATCAAGTGAGTTTTTCTTCTTTATCTTCCTGCCCTTTTTTACAGGTTCCGGTCTTTCAATTCCAGCTTCTGCAAAATGCATAAAATCCCAATCAAAAAAGAACATTCATTCTTGTCAATCATCAACTGATTCACAGTGCACCTAATAAAAATCCATCGCTCTAAAATCACCTTTCCTCCTAGATTAGTAATGGTCAACATGGTTCTACATAGTTCTAGTAGAAGTGGTTGGCGCATCGGTTGTGGCTTGGACTCCCAACCTTGAGGTCGGGGGTTTGAAACTCTCGCTGTGCAAGTCGCTTGTGTCCTTGGGCAAGGCACTTCATCTACAGTTGCCTCTCTCCACCCAGGAGTACAAGTGGGTAGGTTCAAACATAGCCTGCGCTGAATACAGCTGCAACATTATGGAATTCCCCCACCACCGGGCTTGAGTGTGTGTTCCATATGTGCTTGATCCAGTGATCCGGGGGTAATAATGTAAGTGCATAGAGGTCTCTACAATATGCGCTATATAAGTCGACAATTATTATTATTATTACATACAAAAACTTCAGGATTTAAACTCAGCACACTCTAACATTCAACCTAGAGCTCCACTCCGGAAGTTAAAATGATTTACATTGTCAAAAAAATCCTGACTACTATCTTCTGAACTGTTGCACCATTTATTGCACCATTTAACAAACAAAGAGTTTTTTCTAGCTTTAAGTTGTCACTGGTTTTCTTATTAACTTATTCTTCTGGCGAACTGTATCGCTAGACAAACTTACTTTTAAGTACTTCTGTGTATCGCTCCCATTGGTTGTCCATTAAGTTTCTTGTTTCTGGCAGCATCCAATCTTTCTGCCCTGTGATCCTCAAAAGACTGGTCTTGGTATGATCTAAAAATAACAATTAATGATGGTTGGAATTTACATAGAGCTTTCCTTGCCAAGTGTCCAGCGTGCATCACTTTCCTCATAATTTCATATATTTTCACATAGCATTATTTTTATTATTTGTATACTTACAAGCAATGTTAGGCCTAGTCAAGTCAGATTTTCTTGACTGCAACGTTGGCCTAGGGGGGTAGGTGGACGTCCGGCACCTCTCATGACTCATTGATGACCTATGGCTGAGAGCTGACGCAGGCCTTTGTGAGAAATCTTGAGATGAAGCTGAGCGTGATGGCTGTAAAGCATGTGAGGCAGTAATGAAAGATGTCTTGCCTTTCGCTGATGTTGGTTTAGACCTGGAAAAAATCAAGATTACGAAATACTTAGAGATGTGAAGAACAGAAAGGTCCCGGCCTGATTAATCTCAGATAAGATAGTATATTACATACTCCAAGTAGCGAAATGCACGCCATTGTGTCGGGATTCAATATTTCGACATTAATTATGTCATCACTGTGACATAATTAATGTTGAAATATTGAATCCCGACATGATGGCGTGCATTTCGATACTTAGAGTTTGTATTATATTATCTTATATGAAGAACACTCACATAGGCCAGTGCTAATAATGAATGCAATATTCTTGCTAATCTGCATGCAATGTGCAATATGCACAATATAAATGTTACTGTAATTGTGATAAAGGAATGAGGGACGCACATGTGGTAGTTAACATACAGTACCCAGAGATGAACAGTTCTATTATTCTTTAGGGTGTTCTAATGAAGAAACATGACAAAAAAGGAATCTTGGATCTTGAAATATACCTTCTTCCATTGTGGTTCCTTCCACAGCCCTGAGTTTGATTATTATTATTAGAATTGCCCCAGTCCAACAAAGCGCATTGAGCACGTAGTTCCTCGACTTTCTGAAGGTCATCTCGTCCTTTCTTTATCTCCTCTTTAAGGAGGTGTATGTCCTCACTCTCAAATGGTGCTGGTCCAATCGGATCAAACGATGTGTTCTCGGAGTAGTAGTGATACCGACCTCCGGTGTCAGCTGCTATTTGTCCGAGGAATTCGTTGGCTTCGGTGTCATTGCAGTTAAATGATATTGCATGAATTGGAATGCGATTCTGTAATTGCACTTGTGCTAAAACCGACTTAGGTGGCTGTCAAACAATTATAAAATTAAAAAAATTTTGATTAAAAAAAATGAAGTATTATAAAAAAAAGCACATGACTGAAGGCTTCAAACTAAATTGAGAAGGTTCGAGTACAAAACTGGTCGCATTGTACAGTCCAACTTTTCCAAAAGCCATATGTGGCAAAGACAAGTCAAACCAGTCACTTGTCGTAAATCCTCTTTCGGAAAAAATGGAATGTCAAAATTTTGGAAATCTATTTTATTGCACAAACCTAGCCTTCATATAACTATACATCAGGTTAAGCTGTTATTTTCCCCATTTTCAATATTAATACAATTTTCAACGATTATGGTGATGGTTTCTGCCTAAAAATGCAAAAAATCGTAAACTTTGAAGACTGATTTCTCAAATATTGTTCCTTAAACAGCAGTATGCTAAATTCCTATAACTTCATAAAGAAATATTGGATATAAATGATACTTTTAACATTTTATAGCTCTCATTTTACTTTTTAACCCTGTATTAATAACTTAAAATTGTTTTTTGCGATGAGTGACTGGTTTGGCTTGTCTTTGCTACAGTAAAATTACTCTGTTTGAATACATCAGTCATATACCAAAACAGGTATTATTTCTGATCAAAATTTGTCAAGAATTAGCTAAGAGATTAAATAAATATTAATAATTATTATTATATATTAAATTTAACTACTTACATGATCTGGTCTTCCATCTGTCAATAGATACACAGCTTGCGTTCCCGGGTCTGAGAGAGCAATCTTCAAAGCAGCTAAGGTGTTTGTAGAACCTGTGACCTTTAACCCTCGTACCCATTGCCAAGCACTTTGGAGACTGTCCTCATTTACATCCACCATACGGTCCCGCCACGAATGAGCTCTACTTCCAAACTGGATCAGGTTGAATTTCATTTTGTGCCGGAGTTGTTCCTACAAAAATGAGTTAAAATTCACATCAAAGTCAAGAGCAAACCTGGACATGAGGAGGAGCCTTGAGAACTCAAACAGACCAGAACAGGAGTGACCACAAGAGGGACCTGCAGAGGTACCAGAAGAGAGACCTGGATCTGCAGAGGGACATGAAGAGAGACCTGGGTCTGCAGAGGGACCTGAAGAGAGACCTGGATCTGCAGAGGGACCTGAGGAGGTATCTGGAGAGGGACCTGAAGACAGACCTGGATCTGAAGCAGAGGGACTTGAAGAAAGATCTATAACTGCAGAGGGACCATAAGAGGGAACTGAAGAGGTAACTGAAACAGACCGGAACAGGAGTGACCACAAGAGGGACCTGCAGGGGTATCTGAAGAGAGAGGTGGATCTGCAGAGGGAACTGAGGAGGTATCTGGAGAGGGACCTGAAGACAGACCTGGATCTGCAGCAGAGGGACCTGAAGAAAGATCTATATCTGCAGAGGGGCCATAAGAGGGAACTGAAGAGGTACCTCAAGATTCAAGACTCATGATTCAAGATTTATTTTCGTCATAATAGTACACATATACGAGTTTTGTTTCTTTGAGTTGATAACAAACAGTGGAGATCAAATACTATAACACTATAAAATACAAGACAACAATTAACAGATAAAATATTAAATATGAATATAAAAATATATTACACACGGAATTAACAAGGTTGAACTATATTGTAAGGTCAGGAGAGGAATATGGCATGGAATGTAATACAGTAGATAGGCTTGATGATGAAATTATCTACTTTAGTGTTCGTAAAAGACTCTTATTGCACATGGTAAAAATGAGTATTTATGACGGTTGGTATGTTTTAAAGTTGGAATTATTCTGCCAGATTTACTAATTGTTATGAACTTATTAAGTGGGTGTGTTTGGTCATTCGCTATGTCTTTAATTTGATTAAGTAAGGCACCTTCATATAAACAACTTAAGTCATCGACCTCCGTACCTATTATTTTACTTGCTGACCGTGTTAGCCTACTGAGTCTTTTTTGGTCAGAGTCCCATGAACCAGATGATACTACAGAAACTAAAAACTGATTGTACCATGCTTTGGTAGAAAAGTAAAAGAGTATCAGTTCCAACATTAAAATGTTTAAATTTACGTAAGTAATATAATCTTTGGTTTACCTTAGTTCTAAGTTTAAGTGTGTTAATAGTGTTCCATTTTAAGTTATCATCAAGCCAAACTCCAAGGTACTTATAATCACTAGTCTTATCTACTATTTGTCAGGAGAATAATATCTGCAGAAACTCCAAACAGAGATACTTATATGATTCAATGGATAAACTGACCAATGAGAAGACGGCTAGTGAAAGGCTAAAATATTATTTACCTGCATCAGTCGATATAGCCTGTCCTTGACTAAGTTCAGGTGATTTTCCATTGAGTTTGATGTATCAATTAAGATGTACACCTGTTCCTCTATTATGGTCCCAAATAATTCACGACTTCCTTGTTGTAACCAGTCGATTCTACAAATTCAAATAAGAACCGTATAATTAGGAATGCCGAAATGCATGTGGTAAAGTTCTAAAGCTTTAGGTTTTGAAATCAAAATCAAGGGCTTCAAATAAAAAGCTTGTTACTGTAGTAGTTCTTTGTGTCTCTAGGGAAGGCACTTAATCACCTTTACTTGTTTCCATTCATCATATACAAAACTCACCCTTATTGTTTCAATTAAGTAATTTATGCCAGTCTGCAAAAGTAGTAATTTTAGAATTAAAAAAAAAAAAAAAAAAAAAAATTAAATAGCATTGAAGCTCAATGTTGATATCTATACTATTAATCTGAAGTCATACATTTTTTTCCGTGTCTTGTAGAGGGCGCTGTGTGCAATAAACCATTAAGCAAAGACAACAGTGTGTTGCCAGTGTTTACCTTCTCTGATAGTCTTGCAACGCAGCATTAACTTTCTTCTCAAAGACTCTGTGAACTTCAGCCGTTACATGTACGTGTTTTACGCTGCCGTCCTTCCACTTCACGTGACAAAATTTGTTGCAGTATTTCGCATTTACAAGTTTGTTTCTCGTGTCCTGAGGAAAAAGAAATTCAGACAATGTAGAAATTATATACTATCTCCTCATCCAAATAGTAGTTCTTTATATATACAGCACACTTACTGCATCTGTGTAGTCATCATTAGGAGCTCGTTTAAGGTCAACGACCCCATCACAGCTGTCTCTTATACACATCTAGATGTGTATAAGAGACAGGAATTAACAAGGTTGAACTATATTGTAACTGTCTCTTATACACATCTAGATGTGTATAAGAGACAGGAGCTCCACTCCGGACCCAGTATTAATAAAAATCAATTTTTTTTTTGCAAGGAGTGACTGGTTTCAGGATTGGCTTGTCTTTGTCACATATTGTACAATAGTCAGAATTTCACACTTATTGTATAGACCATTTTATTTATTTATTTTTTTTAAACAGCACCACCAACGTTTCGCAACTCGCTAGGTGACTTCCAGTGGCCTAGCCTAGGAGCAGAAGACATGATTACATGATAAGACTAATAATCTTACCATCAAAATGCTTGAATCCTATGGAAGCTAATATCTGCCCTAGGCTTAGCCTATTCTTCTTCAGACCATATGTGGAAAGCCACTTTTTGGATGAGATCATGGAGGCCACGTCAGGCTCCCATATATTCTTCTTGGTTGGTTTCTGCTTTATCACTGACTGAATATCTTCCAGGGAAACATTGACATGTGATGTGCCATTTCTGATCCCTGACCTCTGCATTTTCGGTAGATCAAACTTAGGTCCTAGGAAAAGGAGATGATACAAATATGGATGATTTCAATAGTGATAGTAATTCATAAATAATTATCATCCAACAAAAAAGGCCAACTAAAATGTTCATACAGTTAGAACTAATAATTGTAATACTGCATTAAATCATGATGATAATGATGATGAAGATAATATTCATAATAAAGATGTGTATAAGAGATATATGGTCATGATGTGCCTATATATGTTCATGATGTGATGTTATCATGACCATAAATTTAGGCATGTCACATGTTTTTGTCAAATAAAATTTGATAGTCTGGACAGGGTTAAAACTGTTAATTAATCAATCAATCAATCAATCAATCAATCAACCAACTAACTTAATAACTTCCTAAACTTCACATAAACTACAGTTAATATTATTACCTTATGAGATTAAACTTGGCCACTTGTGGAATCTGCTCCTCAATGACCTTGACAAGGGCATCCCGGCAGTGTTCAAAAAGATCCGGTGAATGCGTTTTAATATCAATACTGTCTCTTATACACATCTAGATGTGTATAAGAGACAGATATAATATTAAATATGAATATAAAAATATATTACACACGGAATTAACAAAGTTGAACTATATTGTAAGGTCAGGAGAGGAATATGGCATGGAATGTAATACAGTAGATAGGCTTGATGATGAGATTATCTACTGAAGTGCTCGTTAAAGACTCTTATTGCACATGGTAAAAATGAGTATTTATGACGTTTGGTATGTATGAAAGTTGGAATTATTCTGCCAGATTTACTAATTGTTATGAACTTATTAAGTGGATGAGTTTGGTCATTCGCTACGTCCTTAATTTTATTAAGTAAGGCACCTTCACATAAACAACTTAAGTCATTGACCTCCGTACCTATTATTTTACTTGCTGACCATGTTAGCCTACTGAGACACTCAGTCTTTTTTGGTCAGAGTCCCATGAACCACATGATACTACAGAAACTAAAAACTGATTGTATCATGCTTTGGTAGAAAAGTAAAAGAGTATCAGTTCCAACATTAAAATGTTTAAATTTACGTAAGTAATATAATCTTTGGTTTACCTTAGTTCTAAGTTTAAGTGTGTTAGTATTCCATTTTAAGTTATCATCAAGCCAAACTCCAAGGTACTTATAATCACTAGTCTTATCTACTACTTGTCAGGAGAATAATATCTGCAGAAACTCCAAACAGAGATACTTATATGATTCAATGGATAAACTGACCAATGAGAAGACGGCTAGTGAAAGGCTAAAATATTATTTACCTGCATCAGTCGATATAGCCTGTCCTTGACTAAGTTCAGGTGATTTTCCATTGAGTTTGATGTATCAATTAAGATGTAAACCTGTTCCTCTATTATGGTCCCAAATAATTCACGACTTCCTTGTTGTAACCAGTCGATTCTACAAATTCAAATAAGAACCGTACAATTAGGAATGCCGAAATGCATGTGGTAAAGTTCTAAAGCATTAGGTTTTGAAATCAAAATACAATTTTTTAGTGTCTTGTAGAGGGCGCTGTGTGCAATAAACCATTAGGCAAAGACAACAGTGTTTTGCCAGTGTTTACCTTCTCTGATAGTCTTGCAATGCAGCATTAACTTTCTTCTCAAAGACTCTGTGTACTTCAGCCGTTACATGTACGTGTTTTACGCTGCCGTCCTTCCACTTCACGTGACAAAATTTGTTGCAGTATTTCGCATTTACAAGTTTGTTTCTCGTGTCCTGAGGAAAAAGAAATTCAGACAATGTAGAAATTATATACTATCTCCTCATCCAAATAGTAGTTCTTTATATATACAGCACACTTACTGCATCTGTGTAGTCATCATTAGGAGCTCGTTTAAGGTCAACGACCCCATCACAGTGTTTGAACGCCACCTGTGATAGTGTATCATAAAGTCCGAGTTTACGAGGTTTTAAACCGTGTTTCTGCAACCATTCCTTCGATCCCATGTTTTGTTCGCTTCGTTTCTGATCAGATGAAGATAACGGTACCTCAGGAGGCTCTGCATATTAAAAATATAAAATATAATAAAAATAAATTTCTAATAAAAATATTCAATAATCATTTAAAATTTCTACATGTGGATACAAGTTACCAAGATTTTATTCTGTTTTGATATAATTATGAATCTGTGTACCTATTTGTTGGTTTGTACTCATGCACACTTGGCACCATAGCCAGTGGTGCTAGGGTTAGCTAGTCTATTATGGCTGAAAAGAAAAAACTAGTAGTTTGCTGGTGTAGCGTTCAACACTCAAGCCAACCTCACCTCCCTGTGGTGTACCCTAGGAAATATCACCTTGCAGCAACAGGCTAAACAAGGCTGTCTAAGAGAAGAAAAACCACAAAAATAATCCTACAGCCTGTCCAGCTCAAATTTTTTTTACAGATACTGCAGAAAAGAGAGTGGTTTAAGCAAGTACCTATTTGTTTGCTATTCTCAGGTATGTCAGTCTGTAAAGACTGCAGATCAGCAAGGATGTTGCGTGCTTCTTCAAGTTCACTCCAGAGGAGGACAACATCCTCCCTCGGTCCAGCTCCAGGGGGCACTCCCCCCAGCTTGACCTGATTCTCTAGCGAGTATCCGCTTGTGCCTACAACATCTGCATCAAGCTTATTGAAGGCAAATGCATGGAATCTATCAAAAAAATAACATGGTCAGAAATAGATTAATATTTTAGAATTTAAATAAGTTATTAAATTAAGAAGAAACACCTGATGCATTGAAGAATGTAAAGTTTGTTTCCATGCAATTGCTACACACTATCGCCAGGAGTCCCAAGTTTTAAGAAATTCCTTCCGAGAGATCTGATTATATTTTGCCGCGCATGGTTATAACCATAGGTACTGACTTCTCTGAGACAATCTATGGTACATTAGTAAAAACATGCAAATATTATGAATTTGTGGAAGATGGGTTATTTTTCCGGGCGATTCTTGCTTGCTTGCGGGAGTATGGGAAGCTGTTCTGACTTTCAAGACACTCTCCCAACCTCCGGGAGAATTGGGACCCCAGTATCGCCGATTTCGAGAATGCTGATTGGTCGCGCAAATCGGGAAGCCTTCCCGATTGCGCCAGGGACTGCCGCAGTACAACGATTGCACAGAATACACCGCAGCGACAGTGTAGCAATTTTAAGGAAACCAGAATATAGGGGCCAGGGATGTGGGACTTGCCTTCCACCAGTCAATACAGCTGCTTGCTTTAGGAATTTGATGGTTGTGGAGTCGGTGTTGTTGAAGGCTACAGTGTTGACAGGTACTGGTGCACCATTCATCTTCTGTAGGAACAGTTCTGTGTTGGTGTTAGCTGAACTTCCTTCAGAAAATAGGTAGACTGCTTCAATCTGCAAATTGCCAAAAGAAGTCAAACATATAGTTAAACTTATGGTCTGTCACCACTATCAAACCTTATGTAACAAATACTGTATCTGATATTTGCCCATATATGGGCATGCTGATCATCGGTAATATTATTATCATTACTGTTATGATCATCCTTATTATCTGTATTGCGTTTTTTATATTTTTTCTTAAAAAATAAATAATATAAAAAATATTGAAATGAAACTTATATCAATTGTTGTCCTTAAATCTAGACACGAATGACTATTCAAAGACACTGAAGAGGTGTTTGGACAAACATTTGGAAATGGCTAATAAGATATGAATTCTTTATATACTAAGAATAATTGAGAAAAAAATGGGGTATTAATATTTGTTAGAGAAAACTTGGTAGCGCGGACAGATGTTTACTTACATTCCCATCTGCAAATGCCTTGTTGACTCCTTCTAAGGCACTGTTCTGGGTTGTAGCTGCCACTGTATCCAGACACATCAACCAGTCAATGGCACTGTTGATGCTTTCTGGTGACATCGGCACTGCGCTTGGTTGGAACATTACCTGATCTTCAGCAGCTCTGTAGAATTAAAAATGGAATATTCCAATTAAGGCCCTGTTCACACTATCAAATTTTCTTTGGAAAAAAATCTGCTGTCTACCCATATATAGTCATGATGTGCCTATTTATGGCCATGATGTGCCTATATATGGTCATGATGTGCCTATATATGGTCATGATGTGATGTCATCATGACCATAAATTTAGGCATGTCACATGTTTTAGTCAAATAAAATTTGATAGTCTGGACAGGGTTAAAACTGTTAATCAATCAATCAATCAATCTATAAATCAATCAATCAATCAACCAACTAACTTAATAACTTCCTAAACTTCACATAAACTACAGTTAATATTATTACCTTATGAGATTAAACTTGGCGACTTGTGGAATCTGCTCCTCAATGACCTTGACAAGGGCATCCCGGCAGTGTTCAAAGAGATCCGGAGAATGTGTTTTAATATCAACGACAATAGTAATGCAGCGTTCTTCGATGACCCCAAAGAAACGTCTACTCTCGGTCGTCAGCCACTCAATTCTTCGCTTGTAGAGTAAGATGGCTTGGAGAAGACTGTTTTCAATCTGCTTGAGTTTTTCTTTGCCAACAGTTAGCTGTTGAAACGAAGATTTTCATTAGAGTTTTGCATTGGGCCGTCAAAGAAAGGGTTTCCAGCCAAAGATGGTTGGGGGCACAAGTTTTTAAGTTGCTTTCACAAGAAGTAACCTAAATAACATAGTTTTCCACAGGGCACATCGTATTCATAAAGTAGGCTAACTAATCTATTGGCAATGCCAAAGATATTAAACTTATTACAATGTAGTTTTTCAAAAAACATTGCACACTGGCACTTAGAAATGTATAGTCCTAATACAAATACAACATGATCTGAGGTAATGTAGTGATTCCTACTTTCTGAGGTGTTCAATGATTAAGACCACCAACCAAACGTCTTTACCTTAAGGTCAAATTCACTAATTTATACCTTTAAAAATGTGCACGCTTAATTCAACAAGAATGTTTCAGCCGTGGAACTTTGCTCTGTATTAACTGCATCGCTTTCAATAACTTAAGATTAAGCTTGAGTGTAAGTAATTGCTTTGTACATATAAATCAATTAATATTTATTATTGTTTATTTGCTTTATACTATGGATATGAAATTTTGAAATATATAATGAATACATGAATTATTATTATATTACCGATAGGATTAAAAAACAATACAAAAACAGAATAAAAATGTCTCCTTACGTTTACATTGAAAACTGTGCCGTCTCTTCTTGGATATCTGGAGAAAAGACCCTCGCCATAACGTGAACAAACTGGTTTCTTCAGTGCATGATCAAAATCTACACATATAAGAACATAGTGTATCAGTAATCACCAATAATTTCTTAACTAATTACAACTCTTCACCATTTTTCATTATTTCTTGAATACATTTTCCCATAATTTATATACATATTTTTAAAAATTTTAATAAAAGAATTGCACACTCTACCTTTTTTATGTAATGTAATAGACAACAATGGTGTTATGATGCAAAGTTTTATTAAAGGGAATCACACAATGGAATATACTATATGGAATACTATGGAAATCATTTGAGTTGTACTACAAAAACATCACTACAATGATAATAACTGCTATTATTAAAAACATGTTACTGTACTTAAAAGACCAGAGGTCATTTTACTGAATAAAAAAAAAAAGAAAATTGTTTAATATTTTACAAGTTGTTTCTAAAGGGTACATGCAGCATAGCGAACATGGCTTAGAAGCAAGATGCTCGCATTTTAATTCTTTAAATGAATGGACCTTTTGGGTAAGCCTTGGATAGTATTGTGGCTAGGTCGTACAAAATGACAGTGTTAAAAAAATATGGGACGCAAACATGTTCATTTGTGGCTTGTTTACGTCCGTATTCTTGGTCTTGTTCTGATTACACAGTTGTTAAGTTTGATTGCCACTCCGGAAAAGGTCAAGCGATAGGTGAATGCCAAACGATTAACGTTCAAACACAAATAAATAAAAATGAATTCATAACAATAATTCTTCACCAGGAATACATATAATGTGCAAAATTAATGAGTATGTTATTCTCGTTGTTTCTATAAACTTCAATTACTAATTACTAAAACTTTATCATAATGTCAAGAGCCATAAAGTAAACAAAGCTAAAAAAGTAAAAAGGAAAGTAGAAAAGAGATTTTAATAATCATTCTATCATCAAAACATGTATGTGGACATGATAGTATATGACACTGACCTTTAACATGTGACATTAATTAATTTACATAAATGTGCTATCACTTGTAGTACATAAGCAAACAGACCTCATGTGCGAGGCAGAACAACACAGTGCCTAAATGATGACTTTGTTGTATGGTTATGTATGTAGATGAGCTTAAATGCGAATTAAACAACTGGTTGTGTTTATGATATTTGCATGTTATCCTATATTTAACAAGCCCTTGGCTCAACTTGACAGACATGATTGAAACAAAGGGTCACCGACAGTTTTAAAGCAAACAATAATTTATAGAATGTCAGGCGATGTCAAATTTACATCAGCTTGCAGCAGACTATGTCAACATTTAACTGTGACGTTGCCACTACCAACCAACACTCTCTCTGTTCAAGTGAACCTATGTAAACATCGTCCCTACCTACTGCACACAATACTGCAATTCTAAGCCTTGGGATCACAGTATGGCATATTCACTATCTATTACATTATTTATAATGCTTAAAGTACAGTGAAAAGGACAGCTAAGTGGACTATCCATTCGAATTAAATTTAATGCTCCTTTAGCCAAGTCTATCATTTAAAAAAAAAAATCACAATCACAATATTACTGTACTTCAATCCCCATAGAAACAAATCATGAAACATACATGCCGAAGACAAGTCAAACCAGCCATACTTCGCAATTCGTGTTTCAGAGATAATGGCCAAAACAAATTTTCGAAATATATTCTATTAGACACTAAACTATTAAAACTTTATATATTTATACATCATGCTATGTTGTTACTTTCCCCATTTAAATGTTAAAACAATTATTCTAAACTGTGAAGGCTGATTTCTCAAATACTGTTCTTCAAACAGTCATGTTAAACTCCTACTTTATAACAAATTGCCGGATTTAAATGATTCTTTTCCCATGTTATAGCTTTCATTTTACTGCTTAACCCAGTATTAATAAAAATCAATTTTTTTTTTGCAAGGAGTGACTGGTTTCAGGATTGGCTTGTCTTTGTCACATATTGTACAATAGTCAGAATTTCACACTTATTGTATAGACCATTTTATTTATTTATTTTTTTTAAACAGCACCACCAACGTTTCGCAACTCGCTAGGTGACTTCCAGCAGCCTAGCCTAGCAGCAGAAGACAAGATTACATGATAAGACTAATAATCTTACCATCAAAATGCTTGAATCCTATGGAAGCTAATATCTGCCCTAGGCTTAGCCTATTCTTCTTCAGACCATATGTGGAAAGCCACTTTTTGGATGAGATCATGGAGGCCACGTCAGGCTCCCATATATTCTTCTTGGTTGGTTTCTGCTTTATCACTGACTGAATATCTTCCAGGGAAACATTGACATGTGATGTGCCATTTCTGATCCCTGACCTCTGCATTTTCGGTAGATCAAACTTAGGTCCTAGGAAAAGGAGATGATACAAATATGGATGATTTCAATAGTGATAGTAATTCATAAATAATTATCATCCAACAAAAAAGGCCAACTAAAATGTTCATACAGTTAGAACTAATAATTGTAATACTGCATTAAATCATGATGATAATGATGATGAAGATAATATTCATAATAACAACAATTAGTTAATATAATAATAATAATAATAATAATAATAATATATATGGTAATTTAATAATAATAATAAATAATAATAACAATAATATTAATAAAATAATAATAATATTAAATACTAGTTATAATTTGATATAATAAAAATAACAATAATAATGATATTAATAATAACAATAATAACAACATAATTATATTAAAAACAAATATTATAATGTTAACACAATGTGAGTGACAAGGACAAAACATAAACAATGTGGGTGCAATAAAATGATAATATGAAATGGAAGAGGTCAATAATGAGACACTTCACACATTACTAAGAAAATTAATATTAAAGAATCCCAAATGATCATTGTCACAGAATACAGCAAAACTCATTGAAGAAACTAATGACAATCTTCTGATGTTTTTACTACAGAAAAAAGAAGTAGGTAGGATAGTTAGAGCTGTGGGCAATGTCTGTTCGATACAGCAATGCCACCTTTTGACCTAAGCCTAGATCAATATTTATGAACAAATGCCGGACACTTGAAACTAAATTGTCATAATTTTATAGAGAATAAAGGCCAAATTAAAAATCAACATGCTTCTCATTTCATTTAATTTTTATAGATGATGAGGTGGCTGTCTTTGATGCCTCAGACCCTCATCCACTCTGTCAACACACTGCACCTTTAGGCCTCTGAGTCACTGCATATGAGAATTTTTGGATTCCTAAATAAAGGGATTTTTGAGATGAGAAACATTTTTTTATTTCTATTTGGCCTAATTCTAGTGAATACAGATAACACCCAATTCAAATGTGAAAAAAATGTTACACGGAAGGTGCAAGCTAATCCGCGCTGTCGTCTTCAAAGGCGACATTTAAGTCTTGCTAAAAATCGGTACAATTGATATCTGCCCTCTGAAGATACGCACAAATCCATATTATATATTTTAGAAATTGTCCAGGCCTCAGTGATTAGAGTATGTTTTTCTTACATGGTGGAAATGCGTGCTAATCTTACTGTAAATGGATGTTCTTTCACAAGGACGCAAATCTAGTTAAGAGAACTTAATTTTTCTCTCGCACACCGCATCCTATATATCATTTTGTGCCATGCGAATCATTAGTCAATTGCAATATTAGTTAAGATGTTAGTGGGCCTACTGAACTAGAGAGTAGGCAAACGTAGAACTTCACGTAACCAACTGCATGCTATTGCACACGTCACATCACTCAGGCATTTTGCCGACTTACGATGATGATCAGACAGAGGTGAACAAACCCGTTCTCGATCTATCTCATACATTTTGTTTGTTAAAATGTTTATACCCTAAAAACAAGGCAAAATAAATTTGATAATGTCTTAACTTGGTATGGTATTATTAGGTAAATTAGCTATCATCGTTGAAAACTCTTGGTCAACATTGACATCTACTGTTTTCAAATGTTTTGTATGATAAAATAAATATATGTCATTGATGATTATGTTTATTGAAAGTGGTATACTGCAGGACTACATATCATTATATTTATAACGCTTACCAAAAAAAAATTCAAATTATGTTAATACAGTATATTATAAAATGATTGACACAATGTCATGAAAGGTTGACTAGACCTATGCCCTATGTAATTATTGATGGTAATACGGTCAACTGTGTACAGTATATTGCCTAGGCCTACCCTACCTAAATTAAGCCAAGGCTAATAATATTAATTATTAATTAGCCTAGGGCCAGGCCTAGGCTAGTTTATTTATTTAATATTAATATTACTAATTAGCAAGTAATTAGTTTAATGTCATGATTAATTGGTGCCAGACAATATTATGAAGACGCTTGGCCTGGGACTCAAAATAAGGCCTATGGTAAGGGATATGACGTAGGCTAGACTGGTATCTAAGAGTAAGGAACCTGCCAATCACACGCTTCCCTTCTATATTGGGCCGGCGGCTGGCACATTCAATGTAGGCCTAGGCCTAGGCTTAGCCATAGACCTACCCCAGCTAGGCTTAGTCCCTACAACAAAAGAAGCGAATGTCAACTACCTAAATTGGAAAAATAATCTATTCTTGGCTTACTTGTACTTATACTCATACCTGATGATAAGCTTGTTGTTTTAAAAAGCGTTCATTTCATTACATCTTTACTAACATAGCCTAGATCCACACTTCTTCCACCGCACACTCCGCGATGAATATTTGCTGCACTCTTTGTTTTGATCTCAGTTGCCAAGTTGATATTACACAAAACGAACCAATGAAGATGCATGTTAAATTGACAGTAATTGATTGTCTTGTTCCAAATATATTTTATTGCTACATATTAAACATACTTTAAAAATAACTTTAACTAAGTTCAATAAATATATATTATTTCATTTAATTTATATGTTTCTATATATATATATTTTTTTTAAATTTTGTTTTAATAAAAAATTAATAAATTGTCTACTAATAAAAGTCTTTATACATCGCGGCCAAAGAAACACAGAGAGGGCGTGATTTAGGGAGGATTTAATGATGAATGAGATCATCTCAGAAATGAATCACAGAAATAGTGGCTCCGTCAATATCTGTGGTAGGCCTTCATAAAATGGGAGCTATAAAGACTTGTTTAAAGGCTGCAAGTTGGTTTCCAGTGATTTTCATCTCATTGATAGTTGGATGGTCTTATTATGCTTATGTTGTAGAGTTATGTTTTTGTGAGTAAAGTTTAGATGTCAATTTGCCTAGGCCTGGCCTGGGCCTTCTTGTTTGATGGATGATTTCGTTTACTTCAGCCAACGGCACTGGGGTCGTTTGAGCCTATTTATATGTCGGACTACAGTGTTGGTACAAAACCCAAAGTTGTCATATGATCGAGACAGCATGTGTCTGTCTTATGATTTATATATCATGTGTCATCTATGTGAGGAAAAGACATATGCACTAATCTATCATCATCTGTACTTTTTGGTAGTGGGTGATGTCGGTAAATTATAGAATAGAATTATAATATTAATACTACAAAAAGCGTTATTATTATAGTAGTTAGGATAGGCTAATGATCCCCTACCTAGGGCCTATCTACTACTGTAGGAATTCCCTACTGTAGGCCCTAAATAACAACTCCATGGCCCAAGTAACTAGTAGGCCCTAGGCTAGCCTATTAGTTAGGCCCAGACTGTATAGTTAGTAAGGCCTACGCGGGGAATGTATCCTCAGCGCAAAAAATTTGTCCTAGAAATCTGTCCACGCATTTTGGGAAATTGTGGCCGATTTCTGCTCAGATTTTGCCAAAAATTAGGCTTTGACCAAATATTAACCAAATACAACAAATGCAATTATGCAGCAATTACAATTCCATGCACCTATTTTCCTGATGATTTTTTTAGATATCCTCTGTGAAACTAAAAAAATTTAAAGTATTTTATCTAGGCCCCTAACTAAAAACTAATATTAAATAATACTTATACTAAAGTTAGTTCTGTCCTTGCATTACTTATCATTTGGTTGGCATAAAATAAACTCTATTTTTTTGTCATATTTTTGTGTTGTCATCAAGCGGTGACTATGGCTCAACCCTAATTTAATTTGGGTTTTGTATATTTTATAATTTTACTGCTCTGTGGCTATTAACAGTAATTTATAAATTTCCCAATTATAATACCCATAATTGCATTATATTTATTTTTCTGCAGTGGATATGCAAGCACCAATATGTAATTTTAATTCCTGAATAAAATTAAATGAAAATTAAACGTTAAAATACGTACCTAAGTTAAGCCAAGACTAATTTAATACAGTATAATAATATTAATTATAATTAGCCCAGTTTATTAGATAATTATTTTAATGTTTAATTGGTGCCAGATAAGATTTAATGAAGATGGTTGGCCTGGGCCTAGTAATCTTAATTAGTCGCCATCCATTGCATGAATATTGTCCCAACTTCCATTACGATTTTACGCATATTTGAGGTGTTGATGGAGCTGGCTTGGTTCTAACCTTCAGTCTCACTCACTGTCTTAAAAATTTCCCCTCTCTCATCACTCATTCGTGTCAATACTGACTCCCCCCAAATGTAACTCTTTTGCAAGGTCTAGTCCGGACCACAACTGGCCGATGGTCTGGTACGGCCACCCTGATTCAATTCAGACTTTGTATATTTTATAATTTGCTTAATTTATATTAGTTTCCCAATTCTGCAGTGGGTATATGAAAATGCAAATATGCGATTTAAATTCCTGAATGAAATGAAATGAAAATAAAGCGTTTAATTTACAGATGTTTTATTGCAAAAATTCTTAATATGCTGCAATAAACATGAAACTATTAATAACGCATGCATTACACAAGTAAACTGATGCATATGCTACACTTGTATACATATTAGTTGACGTTTATATTTTGTTTGTCACTGTTTGTATTTATAAGTAAAGTCTACTTCATGAATACTTACCTGGGTAAACCGACTAATTGCATGATCTCTCCCAAAAGAGAACACCCCTCAGAAACAAAATTTGCCGCAACACCGCCTCACCCCCCTCCCCCGCATCCTCCCTAGCGTAAAAAAATACAAGCGATGGAAATCTCCAGCCGCAACGTTTCCTGCACGAATGAACAAAAATCTGAAGAGATTTTACAACCTATCAAAATTGGTGACAGCCCATAGTTTGCAGAACTGTGATTTATGCTTTACCAAATACCTTTTTCTGTAAAAAGCATAGGCCTATACTATTTAACCCTTATGCCTACTGAAGCTTTGGAAACATGCAAAGCATTAACTTTAAATTTGGCCACACCAATGTACTCTTTACCGCAACTAAAAAAAGATTATTTTGTGTAAAAGCATATTATTATTATAGGTCCCCCTACAATTCAAGACCACTTTCGGGACTGGAGGTTTTCATGGTCTTTAGCAACTTTGGTCTCTAATTAGAATAATAAAGATAAGACATTGTTGATTTGGGACCACAGGAAAGTGGTTTTTAATTGGAGGTGGTCTTTAATTAGAGTGAGAACTGTATTTCAATAGATTGACTTTTTATTTTTTCTCTTTCAGATACCCTTGCCAAAACACCTTACAATAATATAGGACAAGTTGGTAAGATATGTATATTTTTTTAAATATTTTAATTAATACTAGTCAGTGGGTGATTCTGATACTACATGTGTGACATTCAAATACTGTAACATTTTGGCTGATTTCTGTGGCAATCAAAACAGCCCCTGGAATAGACACTTGACCAACACACTCACATGTGGTGTTCCACAAATGCAAATGCTTACAATGTTTAATATGTTACCCTTATAGTAAATTGAGAAATTGCCTATATGGTAAATATTTTAAATATTACAAATTTATATTTTTCTGTTATGTACATTACTATTTCTCTTAAAATTTTAGGCAGTGAAAAATAATTGTATCATATTTATATAATTTATTGTTTATTATTCCATTATTTTTATTAGCTAGAATATGTAATTTTTAATGTATTTTATGTCTATGTTTTTAAATGAGTTATTCACGTGTGCACACCGAATTCTGGATCTTTTCATTATGATTTCTCCCTTTTCGTTCAGCAAAGGTATATGACCTATTGACCTCAAATAATAAATTAGCCACTAGAGGGCAACATAGAGGTCAAATAGGGATAAGTCCCAACACAAGGGCTCGGCTATTTTTCCCCCACACTATGACAATCTGCCAAAAATAATGTTGTAAAATATGGTATAAAATAGTCTCACCAACAGTATACATTGAATGTTTAATGTCAGACTCCGGAGTGAAAAAAATGTTGATATGTTGTAAAACTGATTTTTCTAAGACAGAAAAAAGTTGTTTGACAAAAAACTGGGGAGGGGTGAATGAGATACAGATTTTTGAATATTTAAAAACTGGGGGAAAAGGTGTAAAATAGGGGCACCCCTTTTCCCCCAGTTTTTAAATATATTTCATTCGCCGTTCCCCAGTTTTTCGTCAAACAACTTTTTTTCTAAGAAAAATCAGTTCTACATGAACATACTAAAAATTTGTTTTCCTCCCAGAAGCCTGACTTTAAGTAACATTCTAAGACTCATAGTACAGTGAATTATAAATTTGTTTTATTGTATTTCGTAGTAACGTTTTCCAAGGGTTCAAACAAGACCTTTCCAGTCAATTATGATTAGTATCTGTATGAATGGATAAATTTACAAAAAAGAAAATCCCATATAGTCACTGGCATTAAGAGCATTACTAGAACAACATAATCTGTACGCATAGCACATGCAGTGTCATATGATCGTCCATTTTCGCACAGTGTTACAATCTGACATGTAAAACGATCAACAAACTAGCTATGGCATTTACTGAAGTGACTTATTTAGTGTTCGTTGGTGCACGACTATTAGTATCTTGATATTAGCATTTTATTTTTTTAGATGAATGGTAGTAGAGTATGCATAATGTATGTCTTTACTGAATATTGTTTAAATACTGTGTAGTGCTTGATTTTACATGTTTGATAAGCTGTAAATATTTTTAAAAAAAATAAATAACATTAATGAATTATTCCATTTTTTTTTCATTTTTAAAAAGTGAAATTTTGAATAATTAATAAATAAACATTAATAAAGTATTCTATTTATTTATTTTTTAAGTTGAATTTTTGCAAGTAAATAAACTTTGTCTAATAGTTATAGGTCCATAGTAGATTAATTTTTTATAAGAACATTGGTTCATCTTTTTTCAAAAAATTGTGTTTTTAATAATTCATACAGTATACAGTAGGCCTATATATTTAGATCGTAATTTGTGCAAGTCTTGAGATTATTGTAAAATCAGATTGTGTCAAAGCTATGTGGTCGTGAGATAAATCCCGACATTTTATGATTTACAATCATATTTAGTAGTTTTTAATTTAAAATGGTATCTTACCATCATATATAATTTCAATAAATTGAAGAATCATACTATTTTTGGTTGAAATTGGAGATATAGATAAAATTGATCATTACACATTCATTGCATTTAAATTTTGACGATTTATTTATTATCCAAGAAATATTGTCGAGTTAGCTGAATGTAAAGTTTTGATAAAATACTAAAAATAAACTTAAAATTGCTTTAATTTAAATTACTAATGACTTTCAGTTACAATTATTGGCCTATACATCAAAACAATTACTATTTTAATATAGCCTCTTTCCTACAAAAATCCATTAATTGATTATTATTAAATTAGCTAATTTTAGGGGTTTACATTACCCAAGAATTGTATTAATGAATAACCTTTAACCTTTAACCTTTATTAAAGTATATTTTGGTGCTGGTTCAAGACACTTAAGTTCAAATTAAAACTATTTAATTAATATTAATTTATCAACTAAACACACAGTAATTGCAATACAGAATCAAAAGTAATATTGGTGAGATGGATTATTACTTAGAGAAAAATAAATTACAATATACAAAGATAAAAAAAAGTCTGTATATGGTTAACCATAGAAATACATGACAGCTCACTTGGGATCAATTAAAGATTGAATGGATTTTTCTATGGTACTTTTGGATCCACAACAAATTCAATATCAGTAAAATAATACATTGGATCGCAGCAATTAATGTATGCCAAACTCGATAGCAAGGGACGAACATATTATTAAAGCTAAGAAATATGTTAAACATTTCCTCTGCCAGTGGCTACGGATCTAATCAACAACAGAATAGTCTTCTATCTTGGGCCATTTCATTTATCAGCTCTTAGTTATGAGCCCCCCAGACATTGCGGTTTGTGCTCTGAACTGCAAGGTCGTGCTTTCAATCCCTTGTTGACATTTTGCTTGTGTCCTTTGGCAAGGCGCTTTATCTTTTTACCCAGGAGTATATTATTATTATCTAGGTATTTTGTAGTATGATGATATTATTATGCATGTTTACTACAGCGCTTCTGGGGTAGAAAGGTTTGCACTCTGTGCTAGTTTTCCAAGCTATAGGTCAAACTCACTATAAAATATTAAGTTGCTATTCTTAATTAATCTTTTTATTAAGACTAACAATTTTAAAAAAATATGAGATAACAAACTTTACTAACAGTAGGGCTATAGTCCTTCCTATTTTTAAAATTTTGACTAGAAATAACCCATTTTATGATTGTTTTAAGCGAATCGTTTTTAGTATGACTAGTTTTTGAACCTATTTTTGAAAATGATGACTAGCGAACCTCATGAATAATGACCTGCTTATGACTAGCGAACTTCATGAATACTGTAGTTTAGTGGATGCTGGGTATGCTGTAATTTATATAACACGTTTGTTGTTGTATTGGAATTAGCGCCATATCAATTCTGGTTGTTTATTGTCCATTCAAAAGTTGATTAAAAAGATGTGTAAATTATAATGTATGGTACCTTCTAACTGAGTATGCAAACAGTACCATCAGTATTCATAATAATAATGGTAAATATTATTTTTAAAAAAAGTTTTAAGTGTAATAATTGATCCGGTAGTGAGCAGCAGTCATGAATATTCATAATGGACTAAAGAGACAAACATGTTATTGTAACGGTAATTATTGATTTTAGAATAACCCAAGTCTGATTTTTTTCCCTTGAAATATAATCATTTTATAATAAAAATATTCATGATTATAATAATAGATTTACTACTCACCTTGTATTAAATACTCCAATGTGTATTTAAAGATTAAAGAATGTTCATTATTATTAATAACATCATTTTTCCTTGTTCCACAGTTGTATACCTTTTATTCTATCATTTGCTACTTTTTATGTTTGTCTGGGCATATGCAAAGACAATCTTCACAACTGGAGGCTATGTGCCTGATGAGGTAAACTGCTAAATTACTATTTGTTTTTTTTATAACCAATTACAATAATATATGCATGTGCTATTAGTCACACCCCTATTTATAGAAATGAATTGTTCCAGATTTAATGTGCTAGTTTTTTTAAGTACACAATTCATATAGATACTCATTACCATGTCTTTGTTGTTCTGTTATTATGGTTGCTGACAAGTCTTAATACTAATAGCATTTGACAGGAGAATCATGCATGTTGTGATGCCTTTGTATTAAAAACAAGGAAATTATACAGAAACATAACCAATTGTTGTTTTATTTATGATTGAATAAATAGATTAAAATTAAAACAGATTGATGTAAGTTATAAGAATTATGTGTCTATGTCAATTTGTAGGTTGATACGGTCAAAAGCCTTCATCTATTAGGGCATATAGAAAAAATTGTTATATTATCCCGAATGGCGTCAACAATTTGGAAAATATTGATCAGAAAATAAAAGAAAACAAATATTTTTGCTGCATCATTTAATTCAACAGCATAAAAAAAATGCAATTTTGTGAATGGAAATACGTTTTCTTAAAAAAAAGATAAAAATAAAGTCAGGCCCACTAAAACCAGTTTTTATACAATATTTACAATATTCTTACCAAATAATAACAGTCCCTCCCTCATCGATTAAGAAAAACCAATATTCTATTGTTTTGATTAAAAAAATAGAGTGGTTGATAATCTAATAATTTTTTCTATGTGCCCTTATATTTTTTTTCTTATAAAAAAAAATACTGTATAATTATAAAACCATGAATATCTAAAAGAACTAGTGAGGAAGTACTGTACTGTGCTATACTAAAAAAAGCCAAGGAACAGCATCACCATTCTATTTCCATGCTTAGTCCACTCTATCAAGTTTTTTGGGACGAAGATGTATGATTTACCCATATATGGGCATGATGATATATTACACTTAAATGGGCAAGTTCAAAGTTCACACTGGTGACCCATATTCAACTCACAGGTTGCCACTCGAAGTGTATTTCAGTAATATTATAACACAATATGTATTTGAAATATATTTTAACAACATGTCATTGAAAAAGACAATTATACAGTAAATTGATAGTGAAAGAAATACTGTAAAATGATATATGACACCAGAAATACATTAAGTAACAAAAATGATACTTTGAAAGGTTTTTTAAAGACAAATGAAAGATAGTAATCTAGGTAGATACTGTAGTATAAAAGTCCTAGCAGCAATTTAGTAGGATTTGATGTGATTTTTAATGCAGAGATATCATAGATTTATATCATTAGGATGTACTTGTAGAGCTAAGCATATTGCTGTGTATGCATGCCTTTTAAACCCCTGTTTATATACATTGTATTAGGAGCTGCAATTTAGTAGGATTTTATGTGATTTTTAATGCAGAGAGTATTATAGATTTCATTAGGATGTACTTGTAGAGCTACATATTGCTATGTATGCATGCCTTTTAAATTTAAACCCCTGTTTATGTACATTGTTGAAGTATAGACAATCATTGGAAGTTTTTTTTTTTTCTTTTTTGTAGTGCGTGCTATTTTAGAATATATGGATGTGGGAATGTTCTTTGTTTACTTGGCATACAGTCTACTATTACTAAAAGTATTAATTTACTAAATTATTATTATTATTATTATTATTATTATTATTATTATTATTATAAATATTATTTATTTAAATTCTTCAACCTTTGTTGCCGTTTTTTACAGTTCTATTTATCCAAGGCAGACTTGGAAAAACTTGAGGCTGAAGATCGAACTGACAGAAAGGATGAAATACTAAAACAGATAGCGCACAACCTACCTGTATATACTAGAACACTAGGTGGAGGTAGGTATTCATATATAATAAATAAATTTTTATATTCTAAGCTTCTGAAAAATCATACCCTCATCATCTAGGCACATTTTGTTTTATGGTCTTTGCTTTTAAAATTGTGTTTGTTTAAACCAAATTTAAAGTCGATCCATGGGTAGAAAAATGACCAAAGCAGAGGGTAGAAAAAACCATACAAAAATATAGGAAAATGAGATATAGGGAGGGAAAGAATCTCAACAGAAACAATGACATTTACACTGTAATGCAAAAATTCCCCAAGACAAGCTCGTAATCCGCTGTTGGAGGAAAATAAATTAAGACAGTTTTTATTCAAAGTCACTGATCTTTGGCAAAAAAAGATTTTATTGCAGAAATACTGTCCCCACCCCCTGCCAAGACAGGCCTACAAAGCTGATCTAGTTTAAGACTCAATTACCTTTAGGTTTTCTTTAAAACACAAATTTGTTTCTGTTGGATACTAGATATTGCTGAAGCCTAATACTTGTGGCATTTCAAAATGACTAACAAACTAATTAATTTAATAATAGTTCATACCAGAGGTGATTAGAGTTGATGAATATTCTTGAGTAGCGTTAATACTATTTTTGGTTTGTGCCCTGGCATATATTTCTTCAAATAGAAATTGGCTAATGTATTTATTATTATTTCTTCATTAACTCAATCAATACACTCAACTTCAATCCCATTAAAAATAATATAAATGAAAGGCAGAACTTATTATCAGTTCACAAACAGAAGACTACCTAGTCCCATTTATTACAGATACAGTTTTGCTGGTTAGTTACTTTATGTGTATCATTCTTTCTTCTCTCTCCAAGGTTCAAAATATCTTATTCATCTATGTCAATACACCATTTTCACCAAATTTGAAATGAAAATTTCCGATAACCTGGCTAACACCACTGGGGGACTCTCTCTTTACCATCATGGAATAATTACACGATAAAACTAAATTAATAATGAGCACTAATATTTTAAAATAAAAAAAGAACGAAATGTTTATATTAAAAACAAGTCTTCAATAGCTATTTCAGTGTTTACATACAGTAATTAGCATGATCGTGTGTTGTCTACTGCTGCTATAGCAAAGGTGTAGCGGGGCGATCCGCTGCGTGGTGCTCTATTTGTAGCTAGCCAGCTGCTCAGGCTAGGCCGCTGGAAGTCTTCCAGAAAGTTGTGAGTTGTTGGCGGCGCTGTTTCAAAATAATCCCGATAAAATGGTCTATATTTATTAATTTTTCTTTGTCTAGACCCGAGTCATTCAATATGATTTTTATACAAATAAAAAGATAGTACAGTAATAATACAAAGAACTCATCTAGTAATAATCCTAAACCTTAAGAACGGTGTGTCGCTAAACCTGGATGGAGCGGTGCATCTGCGACGTCATTACAAATCTAGTTGTGAGCATCTACGTATTGAATGCGTACAATTTAAAAAATGGGATATTAGCTGTATAAATGTATTTGAGTATGTTAAATCAGTTCTCAAATTATATAAAATCGGTAAACTTCTCCTTAAAGGGACCCCTGCATACTGTGTCTATATTTGTATTGAATAATGTTATATTCAAAATATGTAGAGTAGCATAGCATAGTTTATCTGGTGGTAATGATATGTTATTACTCTGAATCAGGTTATATGATGTTCTGATTCAGAAATGGGGTGCGACAGCATTGAAAATATGGAACCAAATCCCAGAATGCGGAGCTAAAATTCTATTCCACTGAAAACTTAATTTGGGTCATTTTCACTAATTTTAACCCACTTTAAGTGAACTAATGAACTGCCATGGGGTGGGGAAGGGGGTGGTGGAGTATGTTTGCGTCTGCATCCCGTACCCCCAGCCTACACCCATGGCTAGCTCAACACAAGCAGTAACTCGCTGTTTAATTGTTCAGTGAAATCTCAAGAATTTATATCTGATTGTATTTGTTTATACATGTAGTTGTGCTTACTTTGTTTATTCACTGACAGGTATGCGTTACTGTTCTATATGCAAAGCTGTTAAGCCAGACAGGTGTCATCATTGTTCAGTCTGTGAAAGGTAAGTGTAAATGGTAATGTCATTAGTTGAATCATTAGCATTAGGTTTGGAGCCGGTCTGTTGTTATACACCGACGTGATTGGTCAACTCAATAAGATACAGATTAACCAGTTTTTAAATATTCAAAAATGGTATATCTGTTCTCGATAATTTCATCAAACACACATTCAATGAATATTGATTTGTAAGGCATGAATATTGATTTGTAAAGCATGAATATTGATTTGTAAGGCATGAATATTGATTTGTAAGGCATGAATATTGATTTGTAAAGCATTGAATATTGATTTGTAAAACGTTGAATATTGATTTGTAAGGCATGAATATTGATTTGTAAAGCATGAATATTGATTTGTAAGGCATGAATATTGATTTGTAAGACATGAATATTGATTTGTAAGGCATGAATATTGATTTGTAAAGCATTGAATATTCATTTGTAAAGCATTGAATATTCATTTGTAAATCATATCAAACATTTGTTTTCACAATGCATATTAAATGTATTGTCTGATCAAATGTTTAATTGCAACATCTACTGAATGTAGATGATGATGTTCACTGAAGTGTAGCAGTACAGTAGTAGATGAATTTGTATTGGTCAGAGAAGGACTCTTAACTGCATTTGCCATACCTTGCAACCAATAGCATTTGGTGTTCCATAAACCTTTAGATTTTTTAAGGGAATGTTGATTTTGAACTAGTTATTATAACATAAGACTAAAGTAATAAAAGTTTTAAATATCAAATTATAATTATCTATCCAGAATCCTAAAACATACAGCATTTCGCAATAAGATATTATATCATTATTGTTATTGCCACTACTGTATCTGACTGTTCAAAAGAAAAACAGCATAACTGCACCAAAATATAATAGTAGTTATTTAGTTTTGCCATAGGATGGCTATGTCGCCATCACTATTACTTTTGTGACATTCTCATCATTATTTTCAGTATTGTCATCGTCATCATCTTCTTCATTATATACTCATCATAATTTTTGTCGAGTCTTATTGTTGTTATGCCTTTAAGAAAAAATGTAAAACATTTTTCCTTAGAATATCTAATTAACTTGTTTGTCAATATCAATATAGTTGTTTATTTTTTCCTACTGTATTAGAAATCATTATTATTATTGTTATCATTTATCACATCCACATTCTTACAATGTAAAGCCCTGATATAGACTATTAAATTTTGTTTGACAAATACATGTGGCATGCCCAATTAATATGCTTCAGTCATGATGACATCACATCATGACCATATACAGTAGGCACATCATGACTATATATGGGCATACAACAGTTTTTTGTCAAAGAAAATTTGGGAGTATAGACAGTACTTTAGGTTATTTTTAAAATAAAATGATACGAAATATTGAATAATAATGTCAGATATGATATGGCTTACTGACAGATTGGAATTTATTTCTTTACAAAAATTTAATGTTTACATTATTTGTCATTTATTGATTTTGCCTGTGAATTTGCATTCAAATCCATATTTGAATTCTACAGTATAGTGTGTGCAGATGTTAGGTATATTATTTCCAGGTGAGGGTAACTGAGGGCTAATAAGGAGGGGAGGGGGTGGGGATTGGGAGTGGAGGTTTAAAATCCACTTAAAATATTGGAAATTAAAAATATGCAGATGTTGGATCTTGGATTTCAAAAGCCCGGAAATTTGGAAGGGTTTTGGAATCCATTTTGGTAGGAATGTTTACTGTCGAGGCAAAGCATGAAGGAAGAAAAAGGGGACTGTCCCCTTCATGTCTTCTCATCTGGATGAAAATTCTATACTTAATTAAAGTATTCTTAATAAAAAATATAATAAGTTATTATTAAGTTACTAAATATATTGGGTCTTTATTTTTAAATTGAACTTCATCATTCGTCATTACGGTAATATTATCATCAGAATGAAATAATACCCATCTCCCAACATTGCATGCATTAATATTTGTGGTATAATTTGTATGCAATGTATTAAAAAAATGTATATTGTATGAGCATAAAATGTGTATGAAATATAGTATTATATGAATTATAGTAAACTTATGTTTACCATTTTTTTATTCAATGAAACACAACATCTATTGTCCATAATTATCATTTTGTTATTTAAAAAAATCCTCAAAATGGAAAAATACTAATTGATGACTATGTATCTTATTGCCATAGCAACACTAATCATTAAAGATTATTATGCAAGTGGGGTTCAGGTGAGGTCAATGGCTTATCCTATTGATCAGTGGCAGTAATATGGATAACTGCTCCTTAATGGCCTCACTTGAAGGAGGAAAGTGTTCACACGTTAATGTTAATTCACTTTACTATTCATTGTACTGTATAACAGAAGTTGGTGCTAAATAACAAAAATATTTGACATGAAATCCACTTTTCAAATTATATTAAAATAGTATGTATGTTGTTTTAAATTATATTTATTTATTTGTTCCTTTTTTGTTATTGATTTTTTTTGTGTGATGATTAAATATGATAATTAAACACACATAACAAACATATTTAACATGAAATCCACATTTCAAATGTTGTTAGAATATACATTTTTTTTTTAAATCATTCACTTTATTGCTATCATATACAGTTTGGATAATACAAATATTCAAAGAGAAATGGAATAAAAAACACACAAATAGACACAATTTAAAAATCGAACAGTCATTTATGGCATTGTATAATAATTACATATATTCATAATTTATATAAAATCTTTTAATAAAAAAATCTGTATTTTTCTTTTCTTGTAGGTGCATTTTGAAGATGGACCATCATTGTCCATGGGTCAATAATTGTGTAGGGTTTACCAACTACAAGTATTTTGTTCTTTTTCTGTTCTATGCCTTGGTTTATTGTCTCTATGTAGCAGCCACTGTTCTTCCTTACTTCATCAAATTCTGGTCGGTAAGTACATATAATTATATATTAAGTTACATAAAAATATTATTATAAAGGACCTGGAAAGATATCTTTTACACTGTTAATGTAAACTGATAATTCATGATTTTGGAAATATTGAAAACCATAATATAAGATTACTTCAAATCAATGATAAATATGTATAATTTACGAATTACAATAAGCCAAATTATAGTTTGACCTGTACATACCTGTATCCAAGGTCAGTCAACAAACCTATGTTGCGTGTATGTTTGTTTACGTCGTTTGACCTTGATATGGACATGCGCAGTTCAAACTACGAATTGGATTATTTATAAACAAAATCTCGTCCAGACTATCAAGTTGTATTGCATGGGTGTATGCAAGGGTTGGGGGGTCGGGAAAGTCGTACGACCCCCCTAAAATTTTCAAAGGTCAGCATTTTTCCCAAAGACATCTTTTTCTAGGGCCTATTCACAATGACATAAATGAAAAAGCATTGATGAGGTACCACCAATGAGTCCAAAGACCTTCCCAATTGCGTGACGTAATCTCAATATCAAGGAATGAACGTTCTCAGTCTGTGTCAATTCTTTTTTAATTGATTGACATTTTAATCACATCTTGCTGTTATTTCATTGTGAAAAGCTCCAAAAAATTATGAACATGACCCACCCAGAAAAAACCCTGGATACACCCCTGTATTGTGTGACAAAAACATGAGATATGCTTAAATATAGTCATAATTATATCACATCATGGCCATATATCATCGCTCACATCACAAACTAACACAATCAAAGTAGATTATGTTAGTTCGTAAAATCAGAGTAGTGTGTCAAAAACACGTATTGGTTGTCAAGTACTTTTGTATTCTTTACCACACAAAAAGTCGTTCACAACAACAGCGCGTATTTTGATGCGTTTTCTTGATTTCAAGAAACTAACACAATTGTGTTAGTTCATAATGTGAGCGATGATATACGCACATCATGAATACATACCGTAAAACCTTGAATTGAAGCCCGGGCTTCTTCTTGTTTTTTAACATACTTTGGATGGGCTTCTTTTTCAAATGTGTTTCTTTTCGAGGCCACATTTTTGCAAAGTAAAGAGATTTTTTCAAAATTAATGCTGTAAATTTTGCGAATTAGTACTACTGTACTGTTCAAAACAATAAGTAGGGCCACAGTAACATCAATCTGTATCATGAAGTGTATTAACCGGCATTAAATCACCTAAATTACTGTATAAGCCAAGCATGATTTTAATTTTTTTTTGTTTCTTTGAAATTCATGTACAGTGTATGGAGTTTACTATCTTGAAAAGAAGCCTATCTTCCTTGAAAAGAAGCCTGTGATCTTCTTTTCGAGATAGGCTTCTTTTCGAGGCTAATTTTGCAAACTGAAGAGGTGGGCTTCAATTCGACTTAGGCTTCTTCTCGAGATTAAGCCCATTGGGCTTCAGTTCGAAGTTTTGCGGTATGGGCATACAACAGTATTTTTTTGTGTGGGGTGGGGGGAAGCGGAAAGTTGATGGATAAAAGCATGTGATATCACAACATGACTACAGTATATATATGCATATTATGACTTACATGAGCATGGAAATTGTTTTTACCAAAGAAAATTTAAAGTCTGAATGAAATTATAAAAAATAAGTTTTATCTGTCTAAATATTTTTTAAAAATATATTCATAATTTTTTGTTTGTTTGATATAAAGAAATAATTAAATTATGTTATTAATTTGATTTTTTTCACTTCTATGAAATTACTTTTATCATGTGGTTTCAACCTGTAGGAAGTAGGTGCAACGGGCATAAATTTCCAAGTGATGTTCGTGTTTATAGTAGCTGTAGTATTTGCTCTGAGTGTTGTGACCTTATTAATATATCACATTCAGCTATCAGGGTTGAACCGGTCAACGCTAGGTAGGCCTTTGGAATTTCCTTCTACTCAATCATTCTCTTTACATTTTTATATGGTTAGGGTGATTTGGGTGATGAGTCGAGCAAGTTTCATATCTTGTTCCTGTTTTTCGCGGCCGCAATGTTTGCCGTTAGCGTGATGGCATTGCTCGGAATGCACACGCACCTTGTATTGTCAAACAGAAGCACATTGGGTAAGATTTCGGTTTTCAGCCAAATTTTTTTTATACCTTGTTTGGTGAAATATATTTTCTAAAGATCTTGAGGAGGGCGAAAGAAATAAATAAAATTTCCGTTTCCATTTTAGCAAAATGGTTCTGCCGAAGCACTGGCAGGCGAGAAATTAAAAACAAAATGTTATTGTGTGAGTGCGCCTTTGCTCCAGATCCTAATTTGTGGCTTTACAAAAAAAGCAATGTAAACAATTCATAAATCAAGTTAATGAACTCTCTGTATTTATTTATAGTGAGGAAGAATTTTGTAGACTTAATTAATTAAATAATTTATTTTGTCTGCAATTTTCTTTTATCTTGGTTGCCAATGTGCTGATAGGCAAAAAAAAATAATGTTTTTTTTAAAACAAGGTGTAAAGAAAGTCTTGTTTTAGTGATGATTTTTTTTGTTAGTGAAATCTTTTTATGTTCAGACCTGTGTAAACTATCAAATTTTATTTGACAAAATCATGTGACATGCCTAAATATGGTCATGATGACATCACATTATGACCATATATAGGCACATCATGACTATATATGGGCATACAACTTTTTTTTTTGTCAAAGAAAATTTGATAGACTGGACAGAGCTTTAATTTTTTTGTTGTTGTATGCAAAATGTGATTTTGTGGTTGGAACCAAAATGTCTTTATTAGCAGTCATTTTTAATTGCTAGTTGTAGAATTTTATGTAAATTGATAATCATGTTTTTATTTTTATGATTATAACATGTTAATCTGCCCCATGGAATGATGGTATAAGCCTCAATCATTCAAGAATTATTAGCCTATGCCAATGTGCAATCTCTATCTTACTCTCTTTTTTTTAGTTGTACATTTTAACATATTTTATACTTTATGCATAAGTGATTGTATCTTCTGCTACTAACTCTACTTACTGTATGCTTGTGCTTTGACTGCATTTGCTTATGTTTTATCATGTTTTATATACTTTATATACTTTCTTTGTATTTTAAGTGGCCAATATTTATTATTTCATTGTATTATTTAACTTTTTTATTATGTATCTAAAATGTTTATATTTCAATACTATTGACATTGTACTATACTTTTAGCAATTATGTACCAATATCAGTGATTTGTTCATATAGGTGTGATGTGACACAATCATACCCATATATGGGTCAGTCACATATACAAGGCAGTTATATATTCTTAGCTAATTGTATATATGTGTTATATGATGTCATAATGCCCATATATGGCAAATCACATTATAGCCAATTACATGCATAATGATGTAACATCAATTTCTATACAGAATCTTTCCGTGCTCCTGTGTTCCGACATGGACCAGATAAGGAAGGCTTTAGTCGGGGAAGTTTCTGCAACAATTTCCGTGAAATATTTGGAGAAGAGAAGAAATACTGGCCACTCCCAATATTTACCAGGTAAATAAAAACTGTGTTTATAAGTTAAAAATGTGCTGCCTGGCACAATGACATTTTAACACCAGAGTCGGTCGCTTTGTCGGTTTAATGCTAATTACCAGTCACCCTATGCATTTTGGTTGTCAGGTACCCACAGAAATGAAGTCCTGACTCCCATGATGTAATTGTGATTGTTGAAAATAGTTTTGTGCAGCAGGAACAGCTTGGTTTCCCAACCTCGAATCGGGGTGTCAATCCCTCGCTGTGCACTTCGCTTGTGTCCTTGAGCAAGGCACTTCATCTGCGTTGGTGCTCTCCACCCAGACAGGAGTATAAATGGGTACCTAGTGGGGTTGCATGCTACTGTGCCTATGTGGCTGCAATACTTAAGCATGTTGAACCAATGACCAGGGAAAACAGAGCACTTTGTTGAGTTCAATACACTAGTACAACAGTTCATGTAGGAAGATGTTACTATTTGAACATTTCTGAGTAACACAGCCTTTGAATATGTTTACTACTAAATGCTCATAATAAAATATGTGAATATTTAATAAGTTTGACCTTTCTCTATTGTAATGTTGTAATTATGTGAGTATAATTCACTGACAATGTTGAAAGCCTAACAATGTGTATTATTGTCCTACTGCATGTAGTCAAGGAAATGGGATTTTATTCCTTAACTATTATAATGATCCACATGAGCTTTCAAATCGGTGAGTAACTATAACATAATTCATCACTTGTCCAATCACTTTTGAATGAATACACATTTCAAATTTGTTAAGCAATTGATTGATTGATGTATTGATTGAGGGATTGATTGAGTGATCGATTGAATAATTTAAGTGATAAATTGGGTGGTGGATTGTGGAATTTTTTGATTGGTTGGTTGAGGGATTGATGATTGAGTAATTGGTTGGTTGATTGATTAATTGATCTATCAATTGAGTGATTGACTGGTTGATTGATTAGTTGGTTGAGTGATTGATGATTGAGTAATTAGTTTGTTGATGATTTCGTCATAAGGTATTTGAAGTATTGATTGATTAATTGAGAGATTGATTAATGAGTAATTGGTTGATTGATTAATTGAATGATTTATTATTCATTTATGCAAATAGACCCATAAAGCACAGTATAACATTTTTTTTAACATTTTTTTTTTTAGATTTTTCGTATACTTGCATGGAAATTTGTTTTAGTAAATCTATAGTAAATTAAGTTACAGACCCAATTATAATAATGCCTAAATATGGTCATGATGACATCACATCATGACCATATATAGGCACATCATGACTATATATGGCCTTAAATTTTGATAGTCTGAATAGGGCTTTACAATTGACACAGTTGGCAACACCAAGATAAAAGTGGTTATTTAGCATATAACATACAATGCGATCAGTGTAAAAATACATTGAAATCACATATGTAGACACACACAAATGTACTAGAGATGTTAATTACAGATAAATATAAATTGTACCCATCATAAATTGAAACAAAGACTCAATCAATCTACGAAATACTATAATGTATAATGCCAAATTTTTATTTGCTATTTCTGCCACGTACAGTAGTAATATTCAATCTGTAAGAACACAGTGTTTAGTATTCCGAATCATAGGTTTATTCACTTTATTAAATTTGACAATCATTTAGAATTTTTCTCATTTCTTCCAATGTATCTGGGTGTAGTTTCATTATAGATTAGCACTTTTTATTGTTACCTTTGACGTGGTGGCGGGAAGTTGTTGGAAATATGATGTAAACGGTATAAATAGAATTATTATTAATATTATTATATAATTAATTATTCTATAGGCCTAGTTATATTTTGTTAAGTAGCATTATTAATTGTATTTTCATATAGTGTTAAATTATTTTAATTGTTTTAAAGATGAAAAAAGAATCTTATGGTCCAGCTTAACTGTACACTATATATGTCTAAAGTATGAGGCTTAATTGGATTGTTTTTACAGCAGGCAAATCGATTTGAACCCAGGATCTTGGATTTATTTATGACAGGGCACCTATCAAGCTCAGACCACTTTTTTATTTGTGTTTTCATGATGATAGTATATTTGTTGTTTATGTCGTTTTCATTATTGTTCAAGTTTAGGCTTTGTTGCTATAAGTAACAAGATAAGAACTTTTAGACTTGCGCTCAACAAGGCCTTTAATTAAGCGCTTCATAACATTACTGGATCGAGCGCATATGGAACATATACTTAGCTCCCCTTGGAGAATTCCATAATGTGGCAGCTGGAATCAGCACAGTTTCTGTTTGAACCTATCAGGGATCCACTTGTACTCCTGGGTGGAGAGAGATAATCGTAGGTAAAGTGCCTTGTCCAAGGGCATGAGCGAAATACACAGCACAGGGGATTGAACCCCAACCTCACAGTTGAGAAGCAGACCCACAGCCCCTGTGTCAAAACACACCTACCTAGTTTATGTACTAAATCATGCATTCCAGATTCAGTCTTTTAACTATAAAATCAACGATGTTAGTCTCACTGCATAATTTTCAATTAAGCCTCTCTTTAATTCTACTCCTGTTGCCATGGCAATCCATCAAGACTAATTTGTGGAATGACAAGTATAGTACAATGACACTCATTTTCATTTGTTATTGATATATACATCATAATAAAAATATTAATAAAATGCCATTAATATTTTTCCTTTGCACGTTTTAGCAAAGGAGATGGTATACGTTACCCAATTCAGGCACGGGATGAGGACTCGGACCGTTTGCTAGATGAGCCTATGGACGATGAGGCGGCCTGTGTTGAGAGCGAGATGACAAGTGGAGAAGAATCCAGGGGTCCAGGTATGCATAGTTATGGTTTAAGTACATTGACACAAATAGTGAGAATGGCCCTTTCTGCCCAAAATACTCCGATCCTATCTGCAAAGCCCCCATCAATTGCATTGTTTCTAAGTTCAACAGCATAATTGTATGTAAACACATGCGTTTGTGGAACAACACCTGTTTCTTGGACAATCGCATTCTTTTGGTCAGTTGTTAAGTTTGATAGACATTTCGGAAAGGTCCATTGTATAGGCAGGGTGGTTGAGGATGGAAGATGAAAGGTTCCTTGTCTCTAGATAGCGAAATATCTTCAAAGAATATTTTAATTTTCGCTTTCATTTCATTTCATTTTTTTCTCATAAGACAAGCTTAAACAAAAATTGCAATTTAAAACGCTGCAGAGAAGGGATTAAAAAAAATGAAACCAAATTATTATCAAAGGTGGCCTCCGACTATACTGTATTTCTTTTTATTTAATGTTTGTCTATGTTATTGCCAATTTTCACATTCTTGTTTTTTTAATGTATTGTTTTAAATGTGGCAGTTTACTTTGGTGGAAGCCTGAAGCTTACACAAAACACATTTATATTAGTTGTCCATTATATAATAATAATATTAATATTGTATTAAATTCTGTTTTTATTATACAATGGCACAATCAAGCTTTTTAACACACCTTTTAAATTACTGTGTAAACTAATTTTGATAAATAAAATTAATTAAACAAATTAAAAAAATATGTTTTAGTATACACAAACTATTAATGATAATATTAATGAAATGGTATATAACTATATATTATACATATGATAGGTAATATATTAATATTATATATCATATGTATATTATATATGATAGGTAATATATTAATAATTATAACTGTGTATTATATAGTTGATATACAGTGCACCATCCAATCCAAGTTCCCTCTAATTCATTCACTTTAACAAATAACAATCTTCAATCTATTAAGCTAACCCTGTCTGTGGAGACCACCCCCAAGACCACTTCAAATTTCCATGACAAAAAACTGTTGTAATGCCCATATATAGTCATGATGTGCCTATATATGGTCATGATGTCCCCATATATAGTCATGTGCCCATATATGGTCATAATGTGCCCATAGTCATGATGTGCTTATATATGGTGATGATGGGCCTATATGTGGTCATGATGTGCCCATATATAGTCATGATGTGCCTATATATGGTCATGATGTGCACATATATAGTCATGATGTGCCCATATATAGTCATGATGTGCCTATGGTCATGATGTGCCCATATATAGTCATGATGTGCCTATATATGGTCATGATATGCCCATATAGTCATGATGTGCTTATATATATTCATGATGTGCCTATATATGGTCATGATGTGCCCATATATAGTCATAATGTGCCTATATATGGTCATGATGTGATGTCATCATGACCACTTCAAATGTCCATGTTTCAAAGATGGTCTCGAAATGGAGGGTGAACTGTTTTAATAATAAAATTGATTTGCTAGAAAATGATGAAAACCTATTAATACAATTCATTGTGATGCGGAGGATCACAATGTCTATTTTTCTAAAGAAATGTAACTATTCAAAAATGTTAGTGGATTACTGTGTTAATTTGAATT